CCTTCCTCACGACTCCCACCCCCCCAGGAGTCCCAACCCCCAGGTTGTGAAATGCTGTCCTAAATCCCTATCATGCTATGCAATTATAGCACTATGATCCTACTTTAACTGCTATGGTTCCATCCTATGGAATCCTGGGATTTGTAGTTTAGGGAGAATTAAACTAAAAAAACATTGAAAACTCTCAGCCAAGAGATCTTCTGTCTTACCAGACTACAAATTGTAGGATTCCCTAAGAGCCCTTCAACACAGCCCTATATTCCAGAATATCAAGGCAGAAAATCCCACAGTATCTGCTTTGAACTGGGTTATCTGAGTCCACACTGCCATACATTCCAGTTCAAAGCAGATAATGTGAGATTTTATTCAGCTGCATGGAAGGGGGCTTAGATGCAGCCATGGCAGTTTACGTGGAATCATAATGTTATAGCCATAGTTGTAGAGACTGGCGATGACTCCAATCCTAACCTGACTGTATAGTTGACACCAAGCCATTTTAAATAAGTCAAATAGCCTTCTGACCCTCATTCTTCATCATCAGGAAGTTGGCAATGATCCCAACCTCAGCATTTCAGAGTGAAGTTGCTGACTTTGCTGTCTGGGTTGATAATTTCAGTGTTTCATATACTGATCAGCTAAGAGTCCCCAGGTGGGGGATCCAGGGATGCTTGCTTTTGGAAACAAATCCTTGATTTTGTGAAATGCCATGAGCATTGCTGGCTCAGATCCCAAGCAGTTTTCACACACATCCTTAAAAACAATGCCTTCAGTATACTCGGGGGCTTGACTTGTTTGACAAGACCAGAGACATTTACCTCTTTATAATCCACTCCTGAAAGTCCTGGATGTAATGTCAAATGCTCTGTGAGAAGAATTTTATTATTAGTGAGAAACACACAACAAGGCAGGACCCAGGTACAAACAAGTCATTTCTTTATTCTCCTCCTCTTGTATTTCTCTTGCTTTAGCCTTCCAGTCAGATCTCTGGTTCCTTTTTCATTTCATGCTCTTTCTATTGGTGCCCTCTAGGGATAAACTGCTAAAAAAACAAATCAGAGAGAAAAATAGCTGTAAATTGAAGGTTGGAACAAGATGCAGACCTTGGGATATACACAAGTCGACCCCTTGCCATTTTTTACTCTTATTCCTCCGTATCCTTCCTCAGCTTAATAGAATATTGTGGGTGGGGGAAGATTATATATACATTTCTCTAGTCTCTGGGGAAGATAGTTCTTTTAAATGCACTATAGATTGTATTGTTGAAGGCTTTCATGTCTGGAATCACTGGGTTGTTGTAGGTTTTTTGGGCTATATGACCATTTTCTAGAAGTATTCTCTCCTGATGTTTCACCTGCATCTATGGCAAGCATCCTCACAACCTCTGAGGATACCTGCCATAGATGCAGGTGAAACATCAGGAAAGAATGCTTCTAGAACATGGCCATATAGCCCAAAAATCCTACAAGACAATATAGATTTTTTTTWAAAAAAAAAACATTTTACTTTGGGGGGGGGGGCTTTCAAACCACACACTTAAACCATTATGATTCCTCTTATGCTTTAGAACCCCAGGACTTGTAGTTTGGGGAAGCACTAGAGCTCTCTGAGTGACAATCCTACATGTCCTTTACTAAAACACAAATCCCAGGATTCTGTAGAACTTCACAATGACATTTAAGGTTGGACCACAGCTATAAATATGTTGTGTGGGTCAGGCCCGTAGCCAGGATTTCGATTCGGGGGGGGGGCTGAGTTTGGGGGGGGGGGCTGAATCTGAGTGAAAGAGGGTCTACCCTAGCAAACCTTTTGTATCATTACCCCAATACCTCCATGCATATGGGATGTATTGAGTATGGTGATCAGAACATGATATGAATAAACAGAACAGTTTAAATAATGCACCAGTAAGGCCTTTTCGCGAACCACCATGAGAATTTCGGGGGGGGGGCTGAAGCCCCCCAAGCCCCCCCCCCCCATGGCTACATGCCTGGTGTGGGTCCTTTTTTTTTAGTCAGTGCAGCTCCTAGTGCATCCTGGGGTCCTTTTCACACTACACAGTTTTAGCACTATTTTCCACCACAGTGGAAACATCCCATGGGGCTCTGGGATTGCCTGCAGTTAATGGAAGGGGATTTAGCCAGAGGAGTGCCTCAGCAAATTTCAAATCCCAGGATTCCATGGTATGTGTCCATGACAGTTAAGGTAGAATATAGCACAGTATTTGTATAATGCAAATAGGTCCCATGTTCTTGCCAGCTCACACATAAACGGTGCCCCAAGGGGCATGTGGAGAGCCTTGCAGGCATTGGAATTCACTTCAATGAGTCATTGTTGAGTACCTGCCCTCTGCTGTGAAATGAGATCATCATACTGCTTAATCATCCTATTGCATGACATCACTGCTGTTGTTTAGTTCTAGATAATGTTTTATTCCCTTCAAGAAAAATTAAACAGAAGATGGTGCAAGGTTTTCTTTTTCTTATCTTGAGACCAAGGTGATTGTGCAGGTTCTGAAGTAATGACATGCCCCACACAAATGAGCACACTTTCACCATAAGCCCCCAATGTGTTAGATTACAGCTACCACCCTTAGCCAACACCAAGCTCACAGGGGATGATGGGGACTGTACTGTAACACATCTGGAGGGCCCCAGGCTGGGGGTGGCTAATTGATCAAACAAATTTATACTTTGAAGGTGACAAAAATAGAATTCTCAGTGTGGTTTTCGATACCATTGACCATGGTATCCTTCTTGGGTGGCTCTCCAGAATGGGTCTTGGAGGCACTGTTTTGCAGTGGCTCCACTCCTTTCTGGAGGTTCACACCCAGTTGGTGAGGCTAGGGAACACCTGCTCGGACCCCTGGTCATTGACCTGTGGGTTCCTGCAAGGTTTCATTCTATCTCCCATGCTTTTCAACATGTACATGAAACCGCTGGGCAAGATCATCTGGAGTTTTGGAGTGCAGTGCCATCTCTATGCAGATTACACTCTACTATTATTTTCCACCAAATTCCAAGGAAGCCCCCAGATCCTGGTCCAGTTCTTGTCCGCTGTGATGGACTGGATGAGGGCTAACAAGCTGAAGTTTTATCCTGACAAGACAGAGGTCTTCCTGATCAGTCGTACAGCCAATTGGAGTATAAGGTGGCAACCTGTGCTCAATGGGTTTACACTCTCCCTGAAAACACAGGTCCACAGTCTGGGGGTCCTCCTGGATGCTTAATACTTAGGTGTCGGTGGTGGCCGGGAGGGTCTTTGCACAGTTAAAGCTCGTGAGCTAGCTGCAATCACTAGCCCCAACCATACCTTGAGAAGTTTGACTTGGCCATGGTAGTCCATACCCTAGTTACCTCCAGACTGGATTACTGCAATGCACTCTACTTGAGGCTGCCTTTGAAGACGGCCCAGAAATTGCAGCTGGTATAAAGGTTGTTGGCCAGACTGCTAACTGGAGTGAGTTATAGGGAGCAGACAACCTCTCTGTTAAAACAGCTCTACTGGCTGCCAATAAGTTTTCAATCCCAATTCAAGGTGCAGGTTATTACCTACAAAGCCCTAAATGGCTTGGGTCTAACCTACCTTTGCAATTAATTATGTTTTAAATTATGTTTTTATGATGTTTGTGGTTTATGCATTTTTATTGTGTTATATTTTAACTCTGTTGACTGGTCTTGGTCCCCATGTAAGCTGCCCGAGTCACTTTGGGGATATGGTGGCAGGATACAAAAATAAAGTTATTAATGTAGGTTCTACAGCATAGCAGGTTAGGTTGCTTTCTCTACAGACCTTGGCCTCATGGACACTTAATGGATTTTTTGTGGAGGTTGGAAACTTAGTGAGCTATAGTATTCTATTTAGGTATCTACGGTGCTGACATTGGAGACCCTTTAAGAACCAGTTCCTGGTCCAATCTCACCTTAAAGAAACCGCTTTGGGTGATATATGATTGTGAATACCACCAATAAAGTACAGACAACTGTTAGCCTTAAATTTAAAGAGAATTTCTGAATTAATTCAATATAATGTTTTGTTCATAGCCCAGCTAATAAGGGACTAGTACAGTGGTTCTCAACCTGGGGTCCCCAGATGTTTTTGGCCTACAACTCCCAGAAATCCCATCCAGTTTACCAGCTGTTAGGATTTCTGGGAGTTGAAGGCCAAAAACATCTGGGGACCCCAGGTTGAGAACCACCGGACTAGTAGATTTCAGGATGATGTAATCGACACTTTGAGATACAGTTGGGAGGATGGAGAATATCATAGACCTTTGAAATGAGCATGGTTTGGGTTTTTGTTTTTGTTTTTAGTTTTTTGATTACAACTTTCAGAATCTCCCAGTACTCAAAACACCTACACTCCTGGTTTTGTGATTTTGCCTGTTTATATTTGTGATGAAGGAAGGAGAGTAGTACTACTCCAAGTGATGTTGTTTGGGTCAGTTTTTTGCTGGTTAGTGACAAGCTTCCAAAAAAGAAATAGTTGGAACCAATTGATACAAATATGGTATGATACTGGTCCTTAGCATTTGTCAAAGGGGTGGGTGAAACTCTTGTCCACTTCGTCAGATAACTTGGGAAGCATTGTACTAGATGCCTTTAATTTGACTCTGGAAGTTTTCTGTACAGAAGCTTTTCCCAGCCTTCCTCCCTTTTCCTACTTTGTTCTGTACCTCCCGTCATCCATAACCATTGGCCATTTTGACTGGGGCTGATAAGATTCTCAGTCCAAAGAATCTGTAGGAATTGAATTAGATAAGATGCTGTGGGACATAATTGAGAAGGAGAGGGATGTCAAATTGAAGACTGTTTCAGCTTCCAAGAGCATCACAAACAAGGTTGAAAAAGAAATGTGCCATGTCTCCTGTCATGCTGGTATTTCCTGGGTGTTTCAGTTGGCGGTTTCTGCTCCGATTTTGCCTTTATTTTCATTCCTATTTTATAGCCTCGACTGATTCCTTTGTTTGTTGTTATTGTTTTATTTATTTCCTTCCCCAATAGGCGACAACTGCGAGGTGGATAGTCGGGCAGGACACTGTGTCCCTGGTGTGTGTAGGAATGGAGGCACCTGTACCAACTTGGCAGACGGTGGTTTCCAGTGCCTGTGTCCTCCTGGGGGCTTTGAGAAGCCTTACTGTGAAGTTTCTACACGCTCCTTTCCACCGAAGTCTTTTGTCATGTTTCGAGGACTTCGCCAGAGATTCCACTTGACATTCTCCCTCTCGTACGTTTCTAAGTGTAACAGCCATGTAACGACTGCTCCCAAATTGATCATGGAGGATCTTGGTGGGCTAGATAGTTCTCTACAGCTCCATCTTCCATCTTGGTGGGCTAGATTGTTCTCTACAGCTCCAAATAATTTTCCTTACTTTGCTAGGTTTGTCTTTCCAACTATTTAAATGGGGATTAGAATTGGGTTTTTTTTTCTAGGTTCAATATTTTAATTTAACTCAGGAAACAGAATATTTTAGGATTGCAAAACACTGTTTACTTTTAACTCAAATAAGGGTTCATAAAAATATGATAAATAGAAATTCAACAAATGTGTCTTTGTCGAATATGGGGTGCAATGACCAAGTTTATTGACCATTGATTTGTCATTTAAGCTAGTAGAAACTTGCTAGGGAGCAGAAAGAGGGCAACCTTAACTTCTGACAGTGGTTGGATCAAAAGGTAAATCCTTTTGTAGTACCAACGCTCACTTGGCTGCATCAGATAAGTGAGTTGTAGATAAATGTTGCACTAAAAGATTTACCATTAATCCCTGCCCCAGAATAAACCTTATCTGACAAAGTATATGTGAATATATTTATTCTTTCTCTGCCTTATCACTTTTGTTGCTTTTGTTAGATTTGCCACCATGGAGCGTGGTGGCCTCCTAATCTACAACGGACGCCTAAATGAGAAGCATGACTTCCTGGCTGTAGAGATTGTGGATGAGCAGGTTCAGCTGAAGTACTCCACAGGTAAATATGGTAGATCCACAATATCCTTGTTGAAAGTGCCACCCTACACCAAATAGGTACTGGTGGTTATGGCCATGACTTGTCATCTGAGATTATAGTACGTCCTCTCTATCCATGGGGAATATGTTCCCAATTGGATCATGTTTAGAAAGGTATCTTCTCTAGGAATTTGCTAAGCAAATTTTGTAAGAATTTGCTTACAAAAGATTACTCTACAGCAGTGGTTGCCAACCATTGGTCCTCCATGTGTTTTGGACTTCATCTCCCAGAAATCGCAACTAGCTTACCAGCTTTTAGGAATTGTGGGAACTGAAGTCCAAAACACCTGGATGACCAAAGGTTGAGAACCACTGCTCTACAGTAACTTTCATGGGAAGCTTACTATGCTACTGGACTACAACTTCCAGAGTTCATCAGGAAATTGGTATAATTTTGGTTTACAAAGAAGGCCAAGCTAAAAATTGTACCTTTCTGGTATTATAAAATGTTCTGTGGCACAATGAGGTGAAAGGAGGCCATGTATGTGTCTCTGTCTGCTATGATGTGTTTTATTGTAATGGAGATTGAGCAGAACACAAGAAAGCAGGACTACAGAAAGGTGATACAGGTAAACATGTTGAGTAGGGGCAGGCATAAATCTGTTGGGCCCCAGTGACTCCTCTCTTTAGAAGGCTATGCACCAATGTGAAGAACCACAAGAAAGGAGACTAGAGATACTGAAATATGCATTAGGAGTGAACCTGGGCATAACTTGTAATTTGGATGAGATTTCTTTTTCAATTGCAGTAATAATTTACAAGTTTACATATATTTTTTTATACATTAGCAAATCACAAAGGATAAACTCTCCTTTGTTCTCTGTCTTGGCAATGGGAAAATGGCCACACTCCTCTGAGGGCACAAACAGGAGAAAATATGAAGTTCCATTTATATGTATGAGTGTATGCTATTTGTATGCTATTTGTATTTGTGTTCATGTGCATTTTCATAACTTCTTGAGCGTAAAGGTCGCAAACAGTCATATTAGATTATATCCCAAAGGGGTATTTATGCATGCTGTTAGTGTCTGGATGAATGATAGTGTTGTATCAGTACAGAAATATGTTCTGTTTTAAGCTATGGTATTCAGAGCCATCCTGTCATGTGACATAACAAGACACACACACTTCCCTTTCAATATCCCTTATTCATCTGGTTCTGTCTAAACCCATAAAGCATTTTATGACCTATTCAGCCTCATAAGTGATGTTCAGATGTAACATGTCTTAAATATAGTTACTGTATTAAAGGAAATGGCTTTTGCTTCCTGGGTTCTAAATGTGTCTCAGCCAATAACCTGTCAAGTTAACGGCACTCCTAAAATAGGAATCCAAAACGCAGTTAAAAGCAATCCACATAGGCCATATGGTGCTTTTAAAAATAAAAGCCATTATTCATGACCTATTTCTTAAATAATCTCAGACATGAACTACTGAATGCTAAATGTTTTTTCAATATCATGGGTTACTTTTGTCACAAGCTGCCCAGCAAGGAAGTTGCTGTTTGGATAGACTGAATGAAGATTAATAGCAAGGCTGTAGTATTTGCTACGTTTCCTAGCCAATGTGTTTGGAATTATTCATATAAATACTGATATATGACTAGGAAGAACGTATGCCTTCTTCATATTATTTTAGCACCCCAGTTATTTCTTTAAAAACACCACATTATGTGTCAAAGCACGCTATCATTCACCTGTCACCCACCCCCATGTCGGTATGCTCAACGCATTTGCTATGTGTTCCAACAGATGAGCGTTTTGGCATGTGATAAGCCTGGAGGATGATTTCTCAAAACGGGATCTCTTGTCTTGATAGGATAAGAAGAATGATGTTCCTACAGGGGACAAGCAACATCTTTGACTTTGAATCATCTTGTTTGTAGGATCACTGCATAGATAGATAGAAATGGCAATGGGTTGCTGTGAGTTTTCTGGACTGTATAGCAATGTTCCAGAAGCATTCTCTCCTGACGTTTCTCCCACATCTATGGCAGGCATCCTTAGAGGTTGTGGGTGAAACATCAGGAGGGAATGCTTCTGGAACATGGCCATACACCCCAGGAAACTCACAGCAACACAGTGATTCCTACCATGAAAGCTTTTGACAACACACAGAAATGGCAACACCTAGAAAAATCAATGCAAAAGTCAGTGTGTCCCTCATGCACTAGAATTCTGCATGCAGATATTGTTTGCTTAATTTAATTATTTTGATAAAAGTTCAAATAAATCATTATGTCTTCACCCCCACCATCCAGATTCGGAATTGAAACGGAATCAGGAAACACGTATTTTCTCCTGAAGGAATTATTTGGCTCATAATTAATGAAAGATGAAGGAACATGAGCCTGGTGTTATAGTGATGGCTCCTTGCTTGGTCATTTCAGTCCCGATTCAGTGTTCACTATGTTCAGTGGAAGGAGCTTTCAAAAATGCATTTTGTATGTCTGAATCTAGATTTCTTTTTCTTTAAAAGTAACAGCTATGTGGCACATGGGGTTTGCCATTTTCACTGCAGTTATAGCAAAGTGAAAGGATTTACAGCCCCTCTTCTCCTAACCAACCATCTCCTCTTTTACTAGCAGTAGTGTAGCTATCCTAATATACTTTATTTATATTCTGTTCTATCTTCCTGAGGGGACTCAGGGCGGATTACAGAACACATATTCATCAGACATTAAATGGCAATTATACAATTAACAAGGACAAACAATACAACAGGCTTTTCCCATCTTTTCCATTTCTGGCATCTGTGTTTGACTCCTGCTTCCCGGGTTGCGGGGGGGGGGGGGGGGGGGGGGGGGGGGGGAGTTGCTGTAGCTCCATCTTCCATGCCGAGGAGATTTGTTGTTCTTAGACATCCTCCTGATTGAAATCACCAGTATGTCCCTATGGGTGCCTTTTATTACCTCCCTGCTTTAAAGCGGCACCTATTTATCTGCTCACATTTCTGTTCTCAATCTGCTAGGTGGGCAGGGAGATGGAGCTAACGGTGAGTGCTCATCCCGACCTGGACTTGAACTTCCAGCCTTTCGATCAGCAGGATTTTCTGTCGCTCAGTGTTTTAGCCTGCTGTGCTAAGCCCAGCCCCTATTCTACTGTGTTGCAATAAAAACTGAGTGTTGGAATCTGAAAAAAGGGCTGGGAAACTTGCAGCTCTGTAGATATTGTTGGACGATCAGTCCCAGCAGCCCTTGCTAGTAGCTATGCTGGCTGTGGCTACTAGCTGTTCCAGTTTAACATCTGGAGAGCTGCATGAGCCCCATCTTAAAGGTTAACAGGCTACTCTGAATTGCATAGTACCCCACATGACTTATTTTTTGAGAGAAAAATTGTATATTTCATGCATTTCAAGTGTCAGGTAATATTACTATTATTATTATTATTATTATTATTATTATTATTATTATGTTATTTTTATTTATACTCCACATTCTCTCCACAAGGAGACTTTGTGGAGACTCAAAAATGGCTCTAAATGTAGTTTGGCTCTAGCTCTGTCTACCTGACAGGATATGATGTCACTCCCCCTTGCAGGTGAGTCAAGCACCATTGTCACTCCGCATGTACCAGGAGGTGTGAGCGATGGCCAGTGGCATACAGTGCAGCTTCACTATTACAACAAGGTAGGTGCTGACATTCTTTGATTTCTTAAAATGTATTTTGAAATGTCGGTGATAATGCCAGTGACACAAATTTGTCAGCATTCGCTTGTATATTTCTAGAAACTGGGAAATTTGGAGCAATAACAAAACAGCTCTGAACTTTCTAGCTTTCTCATGTGACTGTTTACATTGGGTATTTATGTCTTGAGAATTCCAACTACATTTAAGAAAGTACATCTCTAGCAGACTGAATGGTTTTTTATGGTGCTACTCATATATGTTATGATTCTGTGTTAGGTGGGGACAATCATGATTCTAATCCATTTAAGTGAATGGTTAAATACCAAAATTGAAAGTTTCTGCCTTTAAAAATTATTAAAAGCTACTTTTCTGCGTGCATGGAATTTTTTAGGGGGAAACCAGAAAGGAATTGAGTGAGCAATTCCTTTCATCTGCAGTCAAAACAGTTAGTGAGTCGGGAAAGTTATATTCTGTTCCATTTCCTAATGCGGATTTTGGTTCCTAGTCCATGGAGGCAATATGGTTTCCATCTTTAGGTGATGCCTGCTTAGTTCTTGCTGTATTGTTTCAGCCCAAGATCAGCTCCTTGGGCTCAGTGCAAGGACCTTCCAAAGAAAAAGTGGCCATCCTAATAGTGGACAAATGTGATGCATCCATGGCACTGCAGTTTGGAAGTGAGATTGGGAACTACTCCTGTGCAGCAGAAGGGGTGCAGTCCAGTTCCAAAAAGTGAGTCTTTGGTTGTTGCTGCTTGGCAGAAATATCCTACCCTCCTTCAAAGAAGGGAAAAGAACAGACTTTGTCATTTTCTTTTCCATTTCCAATTCATTTATTAAGTTTTTATCAAAAAACAAGAAGGGTAGGCTTGAAACACAACCTCATCAGGGACAGTGCCCTTCCATGACCCATTTGTTACCCAAATAAAACATGCATCCACATGAAGCCTATATAAGCATGTGCCTCTGGTCTCTTCTCTAGCTACAGAAGTTTGTGGATGAGTGCAGTTGCAGTTTTTGTTGGCTAGGTCTATACTCTTTTTCTTTAAGGTACACCTCCAGTCACAACCTTCCGATAGGTTACTGGTGTTCTAAACAGCCTGTGTGCTGGGCAAAATGAAATTTATTGTATTTGAGGGTTTATGATAGTTGGGAAAGATTCCCATATACATAAAACAGATGGTGTGTTATTCCAGGAAGAGTAACAGATCAAGTTCAAGACACTGACATGCTTAGACATTAGCCTCATCTACACAACATTTTAGAGGATTCCGTATTGCTCACATCAACAACACATGGCCCTAGATGCTATTGGACTGCAACTCGCATCAGCGTGTGATGAAATACTGTGATGCTTGCAGTCATTCAACATCCAGAGGACTGTGTTTCCTATTGTGTTATAATCTAAATGTGTGCATCAAGCTGAGACCGAGTTTGTGCAAAGTTTGATGTCCCAAAACATTCTGGCTGCCCCTGGCTTGTCCTCAACCCTGCATGCTGTCTAAGGGGAGAGTGTGAAGTGTGTGCTGCTTTCATGTCTAATCGCTTAAGCATGGAGCTTCTGCAATTTACTGCGTTTAAGACAAAGACCCATTCCTAGCTTCACTGTAGCAGAATTCTGACCCTATGCCTCATTTGCTGGGCTAAAATGCCAAGCAGAACAACTTCCATAGATGCCGCTTATGGGCTTTTTTTTCCTTCAGGTCATTGGACCTCACTGGGCCTTTGCTTCTTGGAGGGGTCCCCAATCTGCCTGAGAATTTCCCCGTGGAGCACAGGGAATTTGTGGGGTGCATGAGAGATCTGTACATTGACAGTAAACGCATTGACCTGGCTTCCTACATTGCAAACAATGGAACCTCCACAGGTAATGTCAGCTTCTTCACCATGGCTCTTGCAAAGACATTCCTCTCCCAGATCACCCCTCCCTTCAATTTGCAAAATTGAAAGAGCTTCATCACTGCTGGCTTGTTATCTTAGGGTTCACAAATACCATATAGACTCTAGCCTGAATCCTGCAATAAGAGAGGCTTCCTCTCATATTTCCTTCTGTCCTATGTGCTGTTTAGTGAAATCGCATGCCCATTTTGCTGAAGATATGTTTGTACTCATAGCAGCACCCATGCTTTTCCACTCCTCATACAAGACATGAACTTAATTAGAGTACTGATCTAATGGGGAAAGGCTCTGTGCTCTATCTGCAACTCTTGGGTTACTTGTCTCAAAAACGTCTTGTCTGTTGTGAATGTCTTGGAGGTGACCAAGTCAATACTGCATTGATAGCCTGATGCTTAGATTTCTGGATGAACTGGCCTTTTGGGAAAGGTTTGGTGTCTCCTGCAGCTTCTAGCAAATGTATTGTGTTGTACCTGCAAGTTGTTTCAAACTTACGGAAGCATTTTTCTTGTCAAAATTTGTTCAAAGTATGGTTTCTTTTGCCTTCTGCTAAGGCTGAGAAAGTTTGACTTGCCTAAGTTCACCTCATAGGTTTCCATGGCTGAGATTCAAACTCTCATCTCCATATTCCTTGTCCATCATGCTCATTCTCTAGACTTAATTGGATTTAAACCAGGCCTACTCACACCAGTGGGGCCTAAAGTAATAATGACTGATTTTAGCAAGTTTACTGTTAATCTGGATCTAACACAACAGGATTTAATGCTGCATCCAATAAAACTTAACACCACCAGAGAACTAACATCAGAAAATCTTTCTGCCAGTTATTAGTCTAAAATGTTAATAGAGGGGTAGACAGTCTAGGGCAATTCTGTTTTGCAATACAACTCCCATATTTTCTGGTGCCATATCACAACTGGGGCTAGAAGAGATTGCACACCAAACCATCTAAAAACATCAAAGTGGCTATCCTTAGTTTAGAGCAGTGGTTCTTAACCTGTGCGTTCCCAGATGTTTTGGCCCTCAACTACCAGAAATCTTAACAGCTGGTAAACTAGCTGGGATTTCTGGAAGTTGTAGGCCAAAACACCTGGGGACCCACAGGTTGAAAACCACTGGTTTAGAGGCTGTTCTCATAGTTTGCAGAAGTTGAGGATTTGGGCCAAATTAGAAACCACCTGGTTAACAATTTGGTCCTTTGTCTCCGTCCCTATGCCATTAATGTATCAAATCCCCAGGTTGCCATGCCAAGCACTCCTACTGTGATTCAAACCCTTGCAAGAACAGTGGCATCTGCATTGCGGGCTGGTCATCCTTCACCTGTGAGTGCCCAATAGGCTTTGGAGGCAAGGACTGCAGACATGGTGAGTATAATACTGAGGAGGGTGAAAGTAAATGAACATGCAGGGGGGATACTAAGAATGTTATGGAAAGCAAACCAGCAACAAATTGCACCATCTTCACTTTCCAAAGGGTCTGTTGGATGATTAGGGGGTATCTTACCCTTAAAAAATAAGCAAAAGAGTATGGTTTAAGTAGATGAGTTTTGGAGAAACCCTGTTTATACTCTCAGAAATAAATCAGAAAGGATGAATTCTGAAAATAAATAATTTTTTAGCAATATGTCATTGCAATACTTGTCATCCCCAAGTATACATTACCCAACATGTATACTTGGGGATGCCCTTGAAAAGTGTTCAGGTGCTGCAGCTAGTACAAAATCTAGTAGCCTGATTGGTGTCAAGTGTACATTTTAGACCATATAACAGCAGTTCTTTAAGAACTACACTGGCTTTCAAGATCAAATCAAAGTGCTGGTGTTGACCTACAAAGCCCTAGCGACTTGGGATCAAGATATCTGAAAGACCTCCTCCTCCCATAAGAGCACACCAGAAATGTGAGATCTTTAGAGGAGACTTTTTGCATATCCCAACACTTCACGAAGCTAAAGTAGTGGGTAGCAGTACCTCAACTGTGAGACTCCCTACTCGGGGAAGTTAGACTCTTTCAACTCTTTCCAGTTTCTGGCAGACAGTGCTACTCTGGAGTTATTAATGTTTGAAATTGCTCTATTTTAGCTGTTTTAAAATTGATGTTTAGGATTATTTTAGATTGCTTTTAGCAGTTTTAAAAGTATTTTAATGTATTTTGTAATGTTTTATCTTTGTATTGTTTTAATTAGTTTTTTTCATCATCTTAGGAGCCTTTGTGGTCTGGGAGGTGACACAAAAATATCAGAGACAGAGAGACTTTTGTTTCAGGATGTCTGAGGCATGTTTTATGATCAGATCTGACCTTCCTTTCCTATCAAAAAAGTCAATAGACATTTCAGAAATTAGGACAGTGTACACAAAAGATATTAAACCCTTAGCTGTTCACATCCCAGGAGCAAATCGAGGTTATGGACAGGTCAGATACTTATTGAGCCTGGGACTCTAGTTTAGAACCAGCCTTTAGTGAATGTTTTGGGCAGGATAGAAGTTCTGATCTCTAATTACAAAACTTGGCTCTTGGTTGCCTCATAAAAAACAGTTTTTCTAGACTCGCATCTGAAACCCAATAAGTTTTATCTGACCTTTTGTTTCCACAGGGATCTCTTCAGATGTGTTCTGTCTTTTGTTACTGATGTTCAAGTACAAAGCACACTAAACTGTATTACAGTGTGTGTGTGTGTGTGTGAGTGTGGCTTCAAGTCACCTGTTGACTTATTGCAACCTTATGAATTTCGTATAGTTCTCTTAGGCATGAGTACTCAGGAGATTCAACATATCAAAATCCTGACTCTCTCTTTATAACCTGTGTGGCATGCAAGAGATAATCAGGAAATCATTTTTGAGCATTGAAGAAGAAAGCACATTTAGGAGGTAATCAATACTAAAATGAACAATTTTATGTGCCTTTTGGTATATTTTTAGAATTTAGAGGCACCATTTATCACAAAATTTAGAAATGTATGATGGCTGAATGATAGATGCATTCCAGCCCAGATAGTTGTCTGGAAAGTTAAGACCACATTGCTTCATTTTGAAACCTTTGAGCATTCCTACTCCTGAAATTATCTCTGCAAAGATCAAACCTCTTAACACCTTTTTGCAGGCTCAGTTTGGATATCTTTTCTTGTTGGGAAAGCAAAAGCAGAGAAAATATAGCAATGACCGAAAAGAGGCTGCTAATAGTGACAAGCGTCTTCATGTGGTTCTTACCTCCATTATCTTTTATGCTGTTTTTTTTCCTCCTAGCTATGCATCATCCCCATCATTTCCATGGCAACAGCATTCTTTTCTGGGATTTTAAGAACGAGATGAAGATCTCCACACCTTGGTATATGGGCCTGGCATTTCGGACACGCCAGCTGAACGGAGTGTTACTTCAGGCCCATGCCGGCCAGTTTGTCACCATACGCTGCCAGGTATGGTTCTGGTACTCACAGGAGAAGTGCTTGCGGGTCCCTGCTTCCGCCAAAGATTGTATCAAACATCCAGAGATGTTTCTCTTGATAACTCAGTTTGGAAGTGGCAACTCCCACAGCAGGTGAAAGTAGAACGGATGTTGCAGCAAGGATCTCTCTGTAGTAAAGGAAGACTGATATCCTTTTGTCATGCAGGATTTATAACAGGGAAAATAATGTTATAGCTGTGGGGATGTTCTGTGTTGTGGCTTCACGCTGACCTTGAAGATATATAGTCCTGTCTGAGCAGCTTTCTTAATGTGTAGTGTATCTGTGAATAATTAAGAGCAAGAGCAGTCTGGGTAGATTTGTTTGTGTTCTGGTTTTAATGGTTTAAGATTATCGCATGCCACTCAACTGGCAAATGTCATTGGTGTGGATTACAAATATTTTTAAAAAACCTGAAATAGTCAATAAAAACAACACAATGAAAATAAATTAGCCAAAAGATTTATTATTATTAGGGTGTGATGTGACAGCACTAGATCTGAAAGAGTAAAGGCAATAAGAAGTGTTACAATAGTCACATACAGAGTGCTTGTCAAACACCAGAGTGCTGGTGTTTAAATGTTACCACATCCAGGGCATTTTACATGGAAAGGGTCACTGCTGAGAAAGTTTTTCCATTGCTGCTTTACCATTTCTTTAGCTGGACTCTGGGCTGCTCTCCTTCATGGTGAACAGAGGTTCTGGACGCACCACAAAACTCCTTATGGATCAAATGCAGCTCAATGATGGAGCATGGCATGACCTTCAACTGCAGCTCCAGGACATACGCAGCAGCCAAGATGCTCGCTATATTGTCACCCTCAACCTGGATTTTGGATCCTACCAGGTGAGCCCTGATAATAGTGGCATATTACTCATCTCCACATTGGGACACATTGCACACACTAGAGCTGGAGTCCCTTCATGTGAATCTTGTCCTTCTCACCTGCCCCTACTGTGTTCAGCAGTCTGCTTCCCCTCACCTTGAGACCTCATTCTCTTTGTGTCCATCTCCCTATTCAACAGGAAGGGACAATTTGTGGCTTATTGTATGAGCAGATAGACGCCTCCTCCTTGTGACCATCCAAATGTTCTTCTTTCTTTTTCATTGACTACCCTGACTAGGAATGATGGAAATTGCTGTTCAAAATAATCTGGAACAGAATTCTCAATGGGTTGTTGTAGGTTTTTTGGGCTATATGGCCATGTTCTAAAAGCATTCTCTCCTAACATTTCACCTGCATCTATGGCAGGCATCCTCAGAGGTTGTGAGGATGCCTGCCATAGATGCAGGCAAAACATCAGTAGAGAATGCTACTAGAACATGGCCATATAGCCCAAGAACCCTACAACAACCCAGTGATTCTGGCCATGGAAGCTGTTGACAATAGAATTCTCAACCTTTTCACCATGAAGGAACCCTTGAAATAATTTTAAGGTCTCAGATAAAAGTTACAAGTTTTAGGAAATCCCCTGCATAAGAATACTTACAGCTATAGTTTAATTTTTTTTAGGAAAAAAAACCAACAACACCATAATGTCTTTCAGAGTTTCTCATGACTTCTCAATTAACCTTGATTGAGAAACCCTGATCTAGAACCTACAAGTTGCCATTTCTGCTCTATATGATTAATATTAACAGGCCTGTCCTGGTCTACAGCTTTCTTTTTGTTCCTTGAGGGAACATGTTACCAGTCCTGAGATTCCCATTAAGTGGTCTGCGAAGATGAAATGGCAGCCTGCAGGCTTTGGTAAGGGAGGTGAGCCATGGTTCACCTATTGCATTCTTATGAGCTGGGCTTCTCTTCCCAGGACACTGTTGTGGTTGGCAATGAGCTGCATGGCCTGAAGGTGAAGCATCTCCATGTTGGGGGAATCTTAGAGTCTGGTAAAGTGCATCATGGTTTTGCAGGCTGCATCCAGGTGAGTTCCAGAAGTTTCCCAAATTCCAGGATTTCTCTTCTAACCCATGTTTTGATTCACAGATGAGCTGCACTCACAAATGGGAAGTTAATCCCCTTCCACAAGCCAGATGCAGAAACCAAACCAGAGGAACTTCCTTTGGGTGCTAGCACTCTTTCTTGGCTATCTGACTCAAGGACTTCAGGTTAGCTAGGGCCCCCAAATATTTGGTTGTAAGGAAGAGAAAAGAATGAGAATGCTTGACAAAGTCTGGATGTCCAATTGCCAGTACTGGAAAGATTAGATAATTTCTACAGTACATAAATAACATGCAGTTCAAAAAATGGGGTTAGGGGAATTCTTGCTAATCTGGGCAAGGGTGTAGCTCATAAAACATGCTTTGCATGCAGAATCTTTGAGCTTCAATTTCTGGCATTTCCATGTGAGGCTGGAAAAACTTTTGTCTGAAAGTCGGGAGAGCCTCTATCATTGAGCATCAATAGTACTGGGCTGTATGGACCATTGGTGTAAGACAGCTCCCTGTGTCCCCATGACGGGATTGTTTAACATGCCCAAGACCTTTTCATTCATGCCCAGACCATTTGGTGGAAGACTGCAATGCCTTTTTCACTTGGCTTTCAGGGCGTGCGCCTGGGGGGCACAGCCACTGGGACTGCATTACCCAAGCCCAGCAGCACTTTGAATGTGGAGGCAGGATGCACGGTGCCCAACCCTTGTGAATCCAACCCCTGCCCTGCCAACAGTATATGTCAGGACAAGTGGCAAAGCTATTCCTGTGTATGCCAACCAGGTAGGAGATATACAAAAAACGCAGGCTCTCGTTCTTGTCCTTTTAACTTTTGGTTCGTGTTTCCTTTCCTCTTTATGTTTCCACATTGTGTCTTTTAAGTGTTTAACTTTCTATGTTTCTCCTTTGCTTTTGGGAGGTATTTTTCCCTTCTAGTGTTGATGCATACAGATAATGTATGTGCAATGTTCATATTACTTGCACGCTATCTCTCTTGATTCATTTTGTGCCTTTAGCAAAAACAATTGCCTATGTCCAAACTAAGATTTTTTTAAAGAGAGAGAGATGTCTTGATGTTCCTCTTGAAAATAGAAATACTGTATGCATACATATATATAGAGAGAGTGCAATTTGGGATATAGTTCCTTGCATATATCAGGAATCAGAAAAGACAGATCACTATGGGGCTGGTTTGGCATTCATTCATCTCTCCTATTGTCTTTTTCCAGTTTTAGTCACTGAAAAATAAAAATAAATACTCATGTAAGCCAAATATATTGACTAAAGATATGGGAATCAAGCATATTTGCATCACCCTTATAATATTATTCTCTTCATAGCCTTAGTCTTTATTTCACAATTTCAGTAATGGGGGAAGAAAGGGGGTTTGGTTATGCAACCTGATTCCCATTAACGAACTACAAGCTCAGTTAGCATTTCCCCACTTTCAGAGAATTTCTTCTATGGAGTCCCATATGTTTACATTGATATATGTTTTTTCCAAAGCCACTATGTATTAATTTTTTCAGGGCACTATGGTAGGAGCTGTGTTGATGCCTGTCATCTGAACCCCTGCAAAAACAAGTCAGTGTGTCGGAAGAGGCCTGGTGCTCCCCATGGCTATGTCTGTGAGTGTGGAGAAAATCACTTTGGGCAGTACTGTGAGCACAGGTGAGATCAAGAACCAGCCCTGTATTTTCCAGGATCCCACCAGCCTAAGAAATACTACTCCCCTCGTTGTAAGGTCACTGCAACTCTAGGAGCCTTTAATTGTTAGTAGTTAGATCACTATGAAGAAACTTGTACTCCAGTTTTTTACTACTGAGGTTTGCTTTCTGTATGTCAACTTATTCCGAGTCTAAAGTCTGGTTCACAATTTATGTTTTGGAATGAAGTGATTTCAGCTAATCAATTTCAAACAGACAGGTCTGGACAATTTGTGTCCACTCCACTCCCAAGATATGATTTATCCGCATGCATACACAATCTACATTTTTATATTTTCTGCAAGGCAGCAGAAATAAGTGATTTATCATGATTCTGAAAGATCAGAGCCTGGAAAAGTTACTTTTTCTAACTTAAAGTGCTTACAAAAGCTGATGGGGAATTCTAAGAGTTGTACTCTTTTAAAAATAATGTTTCCAAGCTCTCTGAAAAAATGTTAATTTCTTGCAAACTCTGTTTAGCACATTAGACCCCACATTCTGAACATAGCTTGGACAGGTATATTTTGTTGTGAAGGCATCAAATGGTGCTTTTTTGTAGGGCTGAAATAATTTCTTCATGAATCCCTTCACTCTGCTAATATTTTCTCAGTCTTCTGCAGCTACTTTATTATTTAAGCATATTGAGTTCTCCTCCTCAGGAACAGTAATTCATGTCTATTGGATATTGCATTGTGAGTGTAGGAATGTTTTGATACCACTCAGCCAATCGAATTGGGCTTTATGATGATGTCACAGAGTCCATTGGGAGGGAAGACAATGTTTTCATTCTTGAAAAATATTCCCCCCACTATGAAACCTCCATTGCTGCTACCAAGTTTCCCAAAAATGTATTGTGATAATTTCTTGTCTGTTTGTAGAACATTGTACTGAAAACTACAGAATAAATGTAGAAATCCAGGTCTTAAGTCAGTAAAATGTCACAACTGCTCACATTTCAGGTTTCTGCATGTTCACTTGCTATATGACCATCAATATAGTAGTATTCTGAATTCAGAACATCAGGTATCTATCTACCTGACTTTTTCCCCAACAGGATGGATCAACAGTGTCCAAAGGGCTGGTGGGGGAATCCAACATGTGGGCCCTGCAACTGCGACGCAGCCAAGGGATTTGACCCAGACTGTAATAAAGCCAATGGGCAATGTCACTGTAAGGTGAGTGGACAGGCAGCTCCTGGCTTTGCAGAATTATGCTGTTCTTTCGATCTGAAATGGTACATGACTCACTTTGCCCTTGGTTTGCAATATTGTCTTTCACCTCCATTCTTGGCTCTGCAATGTCATTGCATTCATACTTGGAAACATAAAATCTCACCCCAAAGCCCAGTTTCACACATTTTCTGTTTCCCCCCTTGGGATTCTTTACTTTCCAGGGGTCCCACTTTCTCCAGTCATCCTCCCCCCAGTTCTCCCTGCCTCCATTCTTACCATGTTCACACACCAAAGCTTGATCCCAGCTTAATACCACATGTTTAGGGTGAGTGTCTGAAAGTCCCTGGATTCTATAGATGGGAGGAAGACCCATAATAGTCAGAGAAGGCTGAAACCACTGTGGGAGCTCAGCAGGAGGAGAGCTTTCCATAATGGAGGAAGGGATTGTTTATGTTGTTTTATAATCTTCCTGACTGGGTGTGTGGTGGGGGACTGCCATGATTTTCTGTTTTCCTAATGCTGCTCCTTTCTTTGTCCCACCAGGCCACCCCACTTCCCCTGCTGTTTTGCTATGCTCCTTGTTTTGGCCCTGTCCTTGTGCCTACAGTCTTGTTCACCCTTCACGTCTACCACTCCTCTTCCTGTGACCCAGTTCTCTAACCGCCTACCCTGCCCCTCTCCCTTCTTTCCATAGGATTACCATTATCATCCCAAAGGGAAGGATGCTTGCCTTCCCTGCGACTGCTACCCCATTGGCTCTTCCTCACGTTCCTGTGATCAGGAGACAGGCCAATGTCACTGCAGACCAGGAGTCATTGGCCGTCAGTGTAACAGTTGTGACAGTCCCTTTGCAGAGGTGACATCCAGTGGCTGCCAAGGTGAGTGCAGGCTGAGGGAGCATCATGGCTCAAGCAGGGAAGCACAATTAGGGGTGTGATGTCCTTCCTCTGCCCAAAACAAAGTTTTTCCCTGGAGAAGGGGATGGTTGTCATGGGCTGCTAAAAAGAGAGATAAATGGGTCCTAGAACAAATGAAACCAGAACTCCCCTAGAAACCAAGACGTTAAGGCTGTTGTGCCTTGGACATATCACAAGAAGACATGAGTCATAAGAAAACACAACAATTCTTAGTAAGGTAGAAGGCAATAGGAATGAAGAGGACCACATTCCAGATGGAGAACTCAATCAAGGAAGCCACGGTCCTGAGTCTATAGTGCCTAGGCGAGGCAGTTGATGATAGGATGACTTGGAAGTCTCTCATTCAGGGGACTATCATAAGTCAAGGTCGAAGGCATGCAATAACAACAAACCCCTCCCTCTGCCTGTACCAAGGCATTTCCTTGCAGAAGTGGGTCTATTTTTAAACCATTTTAGGCAAAACTCCTCTGTCATTACTTAATCAGCCTATGCTTTCTCTAAATAAAGAAACTGTACTTCTACACTTCTGAAGCAGTGGATATAATTACATGTCAAAGGAAAGAATTATGGGAGATGTCAGCACTTTCATACTGTTTTAAAGAAGGAGCAGTCAGTGTCTGAGTTAGCATATCATAACAACTTGAGTGTTGGACTATGAATGGAGATCAGGGTTGCATCTCTTGGGCATGTCATGTTCTTTTCAGTTTCAGAGAAAGGCAAAAACAAACATACTCTGAACAAATCTTGCCAAGAAAATACCGTGATTGGTTCTCTTTGGGGTTGACATAAGTCAGAAAAACTTGAAGGCATATAGCAAAACCAGTACAGGTCTCCTCTTATTAAAAATACCAATGCCACAAATATATGAGTGAATGTAACAGGGTAGCTTGGACTGATTTTCATGCAAGAAAATAGCTCTGGTGGAAAATGGAAACTTAAAATTAAAACCTAATACATCCTGATGCTCATGTCCTTGTTATTCTCTCTTATTAAATATTAAATATAAATAATACTAAAATGCTCACAGTAAGACAACATAATCTGTATTGAATCATTACTTATTATCCAGTCTTCCCGTAGTTGCATGTTTAGTGACATAATTAATTACCCTGACAAGCACTGTGTGTCTCAACACACCCCTTTTGCTTTTGGCTATATTTGTAAGACATTAATTAGCCATAGAGTTCTTTATTTCTTCCATCCAACTAATGTGCTCATTCTGGCCCCAGGAAACAAATGTGTATAAATTCCACATCAAATGATTCATTTATGCTCTGCATATGGTTTGGAAGTGAAACTAATGGATCCCTTTAAAAGTTCACATCCAAATATGTATTTCTTTAGTTGAATCAACTCACCCAATATGTCAGGTGGTCAGTGCACAAAACCATCTGGCTTCATATATCTAGAGTCTAGTTTACTGTAATGTATCTGCTTTTAAATACCAGTGAAATACAATTTTATGCAGACTCTCTTTCTAAAACACATTGATCCATTCTGAAAGATCCTTTGCAGTCTTTTGAATATCTCTCAGCTTCAGCTTTGTTGAGAGGAACAGGACCATAGGACTCCATCCAGGTGACTTTGTTTTTGTGCTTGGTGTTACAGTGCTCTATGATGCATGTCCTAAGTCTCTGAAAGCTGGAGTATGGTGGCCTCAGACCAAATTTGGCTTGCCAGCTGCAGTGCCTTGCCCCAAAGGTTCACTGGGTAAGTGTCTTCCCATGACCAGAAGATGTATTTATGAACAGCATGTTAATATCTATCCTCTTTGATTTCAGCAGACTCAAAAAGCTGAGAATGACTCTTCTGCTAAGGTGTTCCATGTCTTCTCCTTCTAGCCTTATTCTAGCTGACCTTTGAAGCCATTATTATCAATATGATTCTAAAGAAACCAGAACTGCTTTGAATCCCATCCCAGGGGAAAGGAAGATGGGGTACTAAACAAACAAATGAATAAATAGAGCCAGGGAAGTCCAGGCAACTAAAGGACAGAACAGTTATGACATTAAACAAGAGCTGTGTTCATGAAGCAACCAAGACTCTGAAGTGGCTGTCTTAAAGTATGAGCATCCAAGTGGCTGTGGCCTGAGCCTTGGGACATTGTAACTCATCAGGGATTTGATTAAAGCCAAAGGTATCGGGCATTTTCCCCACTGCCAGCTAAAGGTGATGGCTTGTTAGGACATGCATGAGAAAAGGGCAACCTGTGGCCTCAACTCCCCTTTTATATCCCCTCCCCCAAACACCCATAAGTCTTCACACCAAATAAAGAAACAAAAAAAGCAAATAATTTTTTGCCATAAAATATTTAAAATGGCACAAAGCTGCCTCCAGGTAGTGATTTTACTAAATTTATTAATTTTTTCACTACTACTCATCCTCATCAATGGGGAAAACATGGCTCCAAAACTAGAAGCAACATTGCATCACTTCTGGATTGCCAAAAATGTCCCCATGTGACCACTTGGAAAGTACAGAATCAAAAACATATTCACACCTCAGGACAGTTTCCACCACATATTAGAGGAAGAACTCTCAGTCTCTTGATATTCCAGACTGCATCACTGTGATCAAGATCTCAGAATGGGGATGGCTTTTGAAAGGAGCGAATTGTGGCTCATTCCAAATTCATTCATTTTAAGGATGGACCCATTCCAAATCAAGCCCAAAGAAACATGGTTGTCTTTTTTTCTTGGCAGTTAAACAGGTGGTGTGTGTATGTTTAGTGCAGTTCCTCTGATGGCTGTATGGAGTTCCTTCTTTGGAGCTCCTTCTTTGGAAGCTTTTAAACAGAGGCTGGATGGCCATCTGTCAGGGGTGCTTTGAATGCAATTTTCCTGCTTCTTGGCAGTGGGTTGGACTGGATGGCCCATGAGGTCTCTTCCAACTCTATGATTGTATTATCCTATGATTCTGTGATTCATGCTTCCTGCTGCTAGACTCTTAGCATGGCATTTGGAAAGCTTGCCCTAATAATCCCACCAAAATTGTAGCCATCGTGCATCTGCATGTTCACCTGTAGGATAAAGTACACAGAGGGTGCATCTGTGCTTTTGAATTAATGCAGTTTGAACATTACTTTAACTTCTATGGCTCAAAGCTGTGGAATCCTGGAATTTGTCATTTATTGAGGCATCAGCACTCTTTGGCTGGGAAGACTGGCAAAATTGCAGCCCCCAGGATTCAATAGCATTGAGCCAAAGCAGATGTCAAGTTGCATGAATTCTGCAGTGCAGATGCACCTGGGGCCTTTCCTGAATTCAGAGATTATTGGGATCTAGTGCTATCTCAGAAGTCTGGATTATTGCATCAACACAAGAACGTCTTGCACAGGGAGGAAGGAGCGAGCTTGTTCTCTGCTGCCTTGGAAACTAGGATGCAGAACAATGGCTTCAAACTTCAGGAAAGGAGATTCCACCTGAACATTAGGAAGAATTTCCTAACTGTGAGAGCTGTTCAGCAGTGGAACTCTCTGCCCCTGAGTGTGGTGGATGCTCCATCTTTGGAGGCCTTTAAAGAGAGGCTGGATGGCCATCTGTCAGGGGTGCTTTGAATGTGATTTTCCTGCTTCTTGGCAGGGGGTTGGACTAGATGGTCTATGTTTCTATGATTCTGCAAAGATCCCAGCCCCTTCCCAGGATACATGCGGAAGCCTCCACTGCGTTAAAGCTTTTAATTATGTCTTTTCTCTACATTCTTCTCTTCCTCCAACTCAGGTTTGCGAGGTGCAGGTAAGGCCTGTTGCTTTCCGTTCCTCCCTCCTGCTTTGTCAGGACTGTTCCATGTGGCTTATCCATTCCCTGCTTCCTGCTTGAGGCACCACCAGACCCCACGCTTTCTCCTGATGTTGCAAGGGCTGCTGGTTCTATTAAAACGCTTACCCGACCCTTGATTCCTTCCTTGTTGTCCTGTCTGACCTTCAGCCTCTTTACCTTTTCACCAAACACTAACCTGCAGAAATTACTCACTGTCACATATACCCTGCTTATGCTTATGCTTGTTGCCTTCATACTTATTTGTGGATTTGATGTAACAGACCAAAGAGTTTTGGAACTCCAACCCAATGGATGTTGTATTCTGCACAGAGCTTGGAAGTAATGTGTTACAAGTAAGAACGTTACCTGCAACACATTGCTTTTTGGATAGTGACAATACCAAAGTTGTTAATTTTAAAAAGTATCATCACAGTTGGCATCTGTGTTACCTTTTTCTTTTCTTTTTTGGTGTAATGGACATTTACTTGTTATTTCTAAAATTTGCTTTTGGGGTCATTTGAAGGGATCTGAGACTTTATTTTGTATTTTTAATATGTTTTTTTTTTAAAAAAAGCAGCATGTTAGTAACACATTGTTCTTCTAATAATGAGCGATAAGTCATGTCAGTAAGTTACTTTGAAAAAAAACAATGAGGAAGGTGCATCAAATTACTTTTTAAAAATAACATTCCAAGCTCTGGTTTTGCTTTTGTGTGGGATGTGCATTGTTTCCTTTCTCAATCTGTGAGCATTTGTTGAAATATGATAACGGAACATATATATTTTATTTGGTGAAGAAAACTTAGTAAGAACATGAAAGGGAACTAACTGCTACCTGGTGTATTCTTCTTTCCCTTTCAGTTGGATAGGGTAGAAGGGTTTGTCTTTTGGCTGTTCCATGTGTTTCAGCATGTGTGCAATCAACAAGGAACTGTAATCAGTACTCGCTTATTGGATAAGTCCATTTAAATGTTTGCATCTCACATGACATTTAATTTGCATGCTTTAGCACTGTTGGTGTAGGCCTTACAGTACAATCCCAGTATTTGTGATAGATATATGTTGCAAGATACCTAAAACCAGGGATAATAGCAAACTATATGTACTTTGGCTGGAAGCATACCACAAAATTACATTTTTGAGGGTGGGGGGATCTAGATAGAACCAGAAACACTTTAGCAGGAAATATTTTTAGTGTGGATAAGTGAAACCATGAGTATCAAGTCTGTGGATAAGAGGAGTCGAACTGTAATTGTAAAGAAGCTCAAGAGGGGCACTTTCTAGCAAGGAAGGAAAAGAAAGGCAATTGAGTCATAACAGAAGAGCTTTGGCCTATACCAATGATCAGACTTAATTAACTAAATGTGTAATAACAGTGGCCCTGGCAGAATGTCACTCCTTCCTATTTGACAGCAGCAATAATGATCTACTATGCTGAAATCATACGGGATCACAGCTGTTATTACAGTGCTCATGTCTTTCCCATTCAGGTCATTGCTGAACGCGCTTCTAGGCCTTCTGGTGAGGATGTTCCAGTTCATGCTGACCATAGTGCTGGTGCTGTTTGTGATACTGATAGTAGCATTAAGGATGTGTTAATGTTCCCACTGGATATCTATGCAGCTTTGGATAGATATTGAGAGTGTGGATCTGTTGGCTTTGGTGATCTTGGTGACCTTCCAATGCATGGCAGTGATTGTTTCACAAATGGCGGAATCTTGTGCTATAGTGCTGTGTTCTGTGATTTAAGCACACTTGATGGCTATTTTATATATGTACATAATGTGAAACTTGTTAAGTCTCTAGCCCTTAGGATAATTCTATACATATATGCCTACATCCATGCTGAAGTGTGTCTGGTATTGCTTGGATCATAGTACTCCTTAGGAGAACCAGGCACATGCTGTGTTAATGCCCTTTGATGTGAAGACCCTTCCATTTTTCTGTCTCTTAAAAATTATAACTTCTGTGGCTTGCCCCTCCTGTGTGCCAAAAATCTAAGTGCCTAAGACAGCCATAAAAAAAGTCCTGATGTGTTATTGTAGATCTGATTTTTGCTTCTAGTAAACACCTTCTGTTTTTTAAAAAAAAAAACTTTGACTTAAAAGTAGCCCATTGGGAATTAGATGACAATGAAAAATTGTCAAATTGGAGACATCTAGATTTATTTTTATGAGTTTAGACAACTTCTTTTTTCTGCTTGTGTTTATCGTAGTTTGCAATTTCAGTTTGAAATTGATCCCATAACCAAAAAGTATCATCGGTTTTTGAGGTATCAACTATTATTTCCTGATGAATTATAGCTGTCCACTTCTTTTTGACTCTACTAGCCCTCAGGGGAAATTTCAACTTGAAATTTAGCACTGCAGATAGGACAACAATCCAAAAAAGTCATTTAGGTATACAACTTCATGTCTCAGGGTGCTGCAACTGTAACAGAAACACACACATTCCCATTTATTAATCCATGTGTACCAACATAACTCAACAAAGAAAGTTTCTGGCAAGGCACAGCTTTTTGTAAAGACACACTTTTTCTGCCTATTACATCTACCCAGTTCCACTTTCCCTTTCTTTATCTGTCTAGCTTAAAGATTTTAAAGAGCATTAGCATTGGGAAGATGCTAAAAGATACTTTCAGAGTCAGGTTTCAGCAGCATGCCTGCAGTAAGGAATACAGTTTACACTTGAGCTGGATAAGAATGAGTTTGTGCTCTAGGCAATCCCATTTTTTTCATGTCAGGAGAAACTTATGAAACTGCAAGTTGCTTCTTGTGTGAGATAATTGACTGTCTGCAAGGACATTGCCCAGGGGATGCCCAGATGTTTGATGTTTACCATTCTTGTGGGAGGCTTCTCTCATGTCCCCATATGGGAACTGGAGCTGACAAAGGAAACTCAACTCGCTCTCCCCAGATTTGAACTGCCGACATATTGGTCAGTAGTCCTGCCAGCATAAGAGTTTAACCCATTGTTCCACCAGGGGCTCCTATCAATCCCAATATGGGTGTATGAATGTAGGTGTATGCACCTCTCTACAACAGGCAAGGTCAGCAGCAGCTACATCTAAATTCCCACACTGTTCATGTATGAACAGTGAAACTAATAGAAAGGGGGAACAGATAAGCTTGCCTCACCTGCTATTCCCAGCATGCTAAAAATGCATAATCTTTAAGTCAGGCCATCAACATGGAAATCGTTTTAAAAACTTGAGGCTGGTGAAATAAAAAGTCATCATTGAATGTCTTTTGGAAGATGCCTTTAAATGGTCTCTATAGTGTTTTTCTTTACTTATTCCAGGCTTACCTGCTTGTTCACATAGGACCATCATTTAGTTTTGAATAAAACATTGCAGAAACATTTCAAACATTAGATATGGATGTGACCCATACAAGTTAGTAAATATTCTGATGACTATTCAGACTGCGGTCAGTTTTATCCCCTCTAAATACATTTTGGGATCCCATTGACAGTTGACATATCATTGTTAGGATTCAAGGCCACTACTTTCTATTTTATGGGTTCAACAGCTACACAGTGAAAGACAGTGAAATGGTAGCATTAATCCAGAGCTAGAAGAGTTCATGAATTTGAGCATAGTTTCACATAACGTGGCATTGGCTATTCTCTTTTTATTCATTCACTCATGGAGTAATTATTATACCATGTGACGAGCCAGATGCATTACAGAGATTCTGTGACTAATGAATTTCTTCCTACATGACTTTCCCAGCTTAGAAATAATTAATCATAGCACTTGGGGGAACTTGTACAAAACTCAAATTAGTGGAGATGGAATCAGGACAGTTAGCATAGCAAATTGCTTGTCGTTGCTAATGAAAGTACGACTGTATGGTGCCTCCTCTGAACCTCTTCCCTCACTGGTGATGGCCTACAGTGTCAGTGATTTTGCCCAAGCTTTGTCTGATTTGGCATGGTGCTTTTATTCTGGCAGCCTTCTCCGAGGCAGCAGCAAAAGGGAAATGTCGATTTTATACTCTTCTGACCTGGACATTCTTCCCCATCAGGTGCAGCCGTTCGACAGTGTGATGAGGAAAGAGGCTGGCTGGAACCAGATCTGTTCAACTGCACTTCACCAGCCTTCAAGGAGCTCTCAGCTTTGGTAAGCCTTTCTCTCTGTGTCCAGGGGCATTTCTGGGTGGCCATCGTGGAGCTTCCAAAGTATACCTAATAATGATATAATAATAATAATAATAATAATAATAATAATAATAATAATAATAATAATAATAAATAATAATACATCTTATGAGTTACACCTTTCTTAATTGCTCGGGGCAGGGTACAATGAAGTCAAAACATATGAACATAAAATACATACAATAAAATACATAGATCAAAACATGCTATTATGAAAAACATACACCAAACACAGGGTACAAAAATCAGTATATAGCAGCAATAGAATGCAGATGCTATCTATCTATCTGTCTGCCCATCTGTCTGACCATCTGTCTGTCTATCTATACATATACACACACATACAGATTCTGTACTCACCACACAGAATAGTGTGTAATGATCAACACTGTGTCTACATATCAGAGCATGATGGGCTGCACATGCAAGTACAGACTGAAAAGTGAGTGGTTTCAGCACATGGCATCTCTCACAAGTTCATTTCTTAGGTCTTCTCAATTTGTGCTAAACTAGAATATTTTGTATTTGTATTAAACTTTCAACATGTCAAGACAAAATCTGCGGAGAGAGTGGAATCTTACAGATAAGAGATATTAAACCTGGACTTGGCCCAGACCTGTCTATTCATTACCTAATGCACTGGACACGTTGGTATTAGAGATCAGAAAAGTCATTGCTGCTGTTGGTTGTTGTTGTTATTGTTATTTGGTACATTGCCTAGAATTTTCCAGTCTTGGATAGCTGACTTATTGATTTGCCAGAAAACACAGTGGAGTTCATTAGTTTCAATGTCTACTGACCTCTTTTGGAAATATGACTCTAACATGAGATGAAGAATTAAGCCTTTGAAGACCTATGGAAAAGGAGCATGTGAAAAGAGTGAACATCTTCCTACAAAAGACTGCATAATCTCTGTTAGTTTGATTCGCTTGACCCACATTAGCTACAACACTGCAAACTGTTGTACAGTTTGTGAAAACTACAACTTCTGACGTGTGAAGTATGTTGGTGTCTGAGAACAACTGATGAAAATGGCTCACCCAGTCAGTAGAAAGCTTCCCAAGAGGATTGTAACTGAAGTACAGTGTCCCATAATAGCAAAATAAAATTCATCACTGTTATGTTACATAGCATTGGAAGAGGCAGCTAACAGGAAATTATAAAAACAGAGAGCATGGCTTTCCTCCAACTCCATTCTGTGAGGAAGTTATTCATGCCTGTACTTCTGTACAGTAAAATCCCCCCAACTACAGAATTCATATCCATAGTTTCATTTACCCATGGGAAATGGGAGAAATGATCAGCCCAACTGCTCGGTGGAGCATGAGAAGACAGGAAAGCTCGGAGAAGACAATGATGCTGGGGAAAATGGAAGGAAAAGGGAAGAGGGGCCAATCAAGGGCAAGATGGATGGATGGTGTCCTTGAAGTGACTGGCTTGACCTTGAAGGAGCTGGGGTTGGCCATGGCTGACAGGGATCTCTGGCATGGGCTGGTCCATGAGGTCACAAAGAATCGGAAGCAACTGAACAAATAAACAACAACCAGGGTCCATCATAATTCTATGCTATGCTTCTCCTGGAAGTTAGCAACACTTGTGCTGGTGGACTTAACAAAAGCCTGGATAGATTGTCTCTTATTTATTTATTTATTTATTTATTTATTTATTTATTTAATTTAATTTTTATCCCACCTTTTTCTGATATAGGGACTTAAGGCAGTTAAAACACAATGCAAATTAAAACCATATACATGCATTAAAATATGAGTATAAAATTAAAAACAATTAAACTTTTTATATAATTAAACTATTAAACATAAAAGTATTAAAATGCATTAAAAACTACATAGTCAGCCCAAAATCCCAATGACATCATCCCCAGGAGCCCTTTCTAGGGGTCTAGCTTTTCCAAGAAAACTATGCAATGCAAATAGAAATAATTTATTTTAATGGTGTTCTGAATTATCTGTGTTTTCCAGTAACTACAGTCTATCTGGAAACACATTACCCTTGACATACTGTATAAGTAAACAAAGACCAGTGTTTCCCTAACAGTAAGGGAGAACATGTTCCCATATGAAAAGCATTGTTTGTATGCATTCCTCAAATGTTTAATGCTAGCATTACTCACATCATTTGTAAGCCCATCAAAATATATTCAAAATGAAAAGTACAAACTGGAGGGGAAGAGCACCATACATCTTGAACACAATAAATGTATGCATTGTTAGTAGTTCTGTCTTATATTTATATGGTGATGGGGGGGGGGGGAGGATATGAAGTTAAATTCAGATAACTATTTGCGGACTATATAAACAAGACAGGCTGTTAAAGCTATTTCAATACTTTCATTCACATTAGTTAGCTTTAGCATGAGAACGTTGTTTCAACCAATAATCATTTGGGGGAATGAGGGTAGATTAAATCTCAGAAGCATCTGTTAACCAGGTGCTACTTTCCTCATGGGTGAAGAAAATTCATGGATTTGATTTCCTGATTAATAGAGTAAATGCTAGCTCTTGGCCATTGACACAATGATCCTGCCCTGTCAGTAACAGTTTTGCTCTGCATTCCCTTCCACCAGTGTTTTATGTTGAAATCCAGTTTTCTAATATCAACCAAGCTTTGCTACTTTCATCAGCAAATAGGAAATAAAGTTTCCTTCTATTTATTTGTGTATCTGAAAATTTCCATTCTGGTATGTGTTCCCTGATCATACTTTATGTTTTCTGTGCTGGTAGCTGGAGGGTCTGGAAAGAAATGAGACAGAACTGAACACCATAGAAGCCAAAAAGCTGGCCCACCAGCTGCGGGCAGTGACTGATCAGATGGAGCGTTATTTTGGCAATGATGTTCACATCACCTATCGCCTGCTTTCCCATTTGATGGCCTTTGAGAGCAAGCAACATGGCTTTGGTCTGACAGCCACCCAGGATGCTCATTTCAACGAGGTGAGGGCAATTTCTTCTCTCTTTTTTTGGACAGAAATACTGTGAAAATGGATAAAAGTTAGGTTACTGGAGAGCCAGCTTCGCATTGGATTATGATTGGAGACCAGAGTTTAATTCTGCACTCAACCACTGGGACATCTACTTAGTGTCCTTGGGCAAGTCACACATCATCAACCCCAGAAAACCCCAATTTAGGGTTGCCTTAAGTCAGAAACAACTTGATGGCACACAATAACAACAAAAAGCTTCTGATCCTACCCTGCCAGCATGTAGTATACTTCTTCTAGGATGATTTATTTTTTATTTTCATGTCAGAAAAGAATTGAGAATACAGTTATAATGTATAGAAAAACCACAAACAAAGTTAAAAACTTGATATTATACTAAATTTCCTTTAACCAGAGGCTGGCCACTTCGAGTGCCTCTAATGTCGCTGTGAGAAGGTCCTCCATTGTACATGTGGCAGGGCTTTGTAAGTTGCATTGTGGTCAGTGATCTGTGGTTTGCTCTTCTCCATACTCGCATGTCAAGGACTCCACTTTGGAGCTCAATTTCTTAAGGTTAGTTCTGCATCTCATAGTGCCAGAGGGCAGTCTGTTCGGCGCCTTCCAAGTTGCCCAGTCTTTTGTGTGCCCAGGGAGGAGTTTCTCATCTGGTATCAGCCACTGATTGAGGTTCCAGGTTTTAACCTGCCACTTTTATACTCTCATTTGCTGAGGTGTTCCTGGGAGTATCTCTCCCAGGAAAGCTATTTCTTGATTCTAGGACAATGATGCCAATCATGTTGGATTAGAACTCTCATGCTCCCTGATATCAGCTATTCTTGCAGGGGTTGATGGGAGTTTTTACTCCAATAACACCTGGAAATTGGCAGATTCCCAACTTCTGTCCTAGGAAGGGACACAAGACTTTATGAGTTGTAAAGTGTTGTTGGAACTGTAATAACTGGCAGTTGTGCTACAGGATTTTAAAAAATGGCCAATGAACCCTTAAGCAAGGATTTTGCAGTGGAACTCATGCAGCAGTCTTTCAAGATACTGATCATTTACCTGATCAAACTGGGTGCTTTGTATAACTTCAAGTCTTCTGAAATTCTGCCTCTGACGTTTGTAGAACTTGTTGCGGGCCGGTAGCTCAGTGCTCGCCTTAGAGAACCATGAGCACTGGGACACATTGCTGCAGAACAGCCATGGCAGTGCAGGTCTAATGGAACAACTGAGAGAATACACAAGCACCCTGGCCAGCAATATGAAACTCACCTACCTCAATCCAGTTGGTGTTGTGACCCCCAATATTGGTAAGTATAAGCATCACTAGAAGTGGAAGTTTTGAGTAGCTATGAAATGGTAAATTATATACATCCAAAGTTCTGTTGTCTTGCTTCTGTACCAGTTCAAGATAGGATGCTGCAGGGGGACAATATTGTGTGGACTTGATATACAGCTCAATGTTTGTTGCAGAACTGGGGAATATGTAGCCCTTAAGCTGTGGAGTATATTTCCAATCTGCCCCAGTTAGCCTACTCATCATGGGAGTAGAAGTTCATTAACACCTAGAAAATCCAGTTATTTGATTTGTGGTGCTTGCTTTATCAACAGTGGCCTTATGAAGGCCCAGGCAATCTTGCATTGATGGTGGGTTTGGGGTGGGGAGAATATTTCTAGAACTTAGGGTGTGAGTTACGACATAATATCCAGTGCCCCACACTGTGGATAAAGCAAGCATCGCATACTCTGGAATTCAAGCATATAGTAAGGTAAGTGGTGGCTTTAAGAGAAGGTTGGAGTGAATGCTGCCTTTGCTGTCAGATGCTTGGTCCCAAATGATGTATTATTACTGAAAGATCAACTCTCGGACCTCAAACCTGTTTTCTCTATTTCCTGTTTCTCCACACAGTGCTCAGCATTGACCGTATGGAGAACCGTACCCACTTCAGAAGGCGCTACCCTCGCTATCATAGTACCCTCTTCCGTGGCCAGGCCATGTGGGACCCACACACCCATGTAGTGCTCCCCCTCTCAGTCCTTACACCCCGCAAAGTAGGTAAGTCACTCTTCTTTGAACATCCCCAGAACAACCTGCAAGGAATCAGCTGTCATTCCAGCCTAGATCTTCTTTCGTTTCTTCTTTTTCTTTCTCTACATTCAATGGTACAAGACTGGCACCGAAGTGCAAAAACCTTGAATAAAGAAACCTCTGAGAGAGAACACATCTCTAAGAATCTGTACGTGACTGTCACAATTTTACTGGAGGAACTAGAGACTTCTAAAGTAAATATTTGAATCAAATCCACAAATAGTCAAATTTGCAAAAGTCAAATCCATGAATGTGGAGAGCCAACAATACTTCAAAAGCTGTTCAGAAGCATACTAGTAGGAAGTTTTATGAGAGAATGAACCTTTTGTCTTGAACAAAAAGGGACTGGGAAAACCTATGCTCGTTGGCTGGGAAGCAACTCTCCCTCATCAGTCCAGACCACAAGACTTTTGGGTTACAAAGATCTTACCAGGTCAAGCTGGACTGGGCTGTGGCGCAGCTAGTTAGTAGCCAGCTGCATTAAATTAGTACTGACTGACAGATCATGAGTTCAAAGCTAGCCTGGGTTGGAGTAAGCTCCTGACCATTAATAGTCTATTTTGCTATTCACCTATGTAGTCCGAAAGACTGTTGCTTCTGTCAAATAGGAAATGTAGGTAACACTTTATGCGGGGAGTCTAACTTAACTAATTTATGATGCCATGAAACCTTCCAGCAGCATGCAGAAGAATGAAAAAGTACTCCATCAAAAGACCCAGTGTCACAAGTGGACGGTGAAGCAGTAGCTCCCCTTATGGCCAAAACCGAGCATACCCTCATGAAGCCGGAAAAAACTGGAATGTTAAATTGCTTCTGTGTCTGTCTATATATGTTATATGTCTAAATGGCATTGGATGTTTGCCATGTATATGTGCATTGTAATCCACCCTGAGTCCCCTGCTGGGTGAGAAGGGCAGAATATAAATACTGTAAATAAATAAACAAACAAACAAATAAATATTTGGGATATAGGGACAGCCCTGAACATTTCTTTCTTCCTTGTCCTTTGACTTACCTAATTATGGTGCAAGACGTCAGTGTTTCTTCCTTCTTTGTTTCTCCAACTCCAGCTCCAACCATGGCAGCTCCAGTACCAGCAAACAGTGAAACCAATGACACTGTGGAAAGTTCTCCTCAAAAACACTCCCTTCCAGAGCCTGAGCCTGCAGTAACCATCCTTATCCTCATCATTTACCGCACCCTTGGAGGACTTCTGCCTGCTCACTATCAGGTGGATCGACGCAACCTCAGGTACCACTCATTGCTCACATGTTTCCTGGGCTGTTTGCCAATCTGCCAAGCATTGCCAACTCCACTGAGCCCCCTGGAGATGACTGCTGTTTAAAATGGATAAAAAACATCTTGTTTAGGGATCGTTGGCAAGAGTTCATGCTCTGCTGCTAATGTGACATGTGAACATTCTGTGATTGATTGTGTTGCCAAGTGGCATTGGTTAAGAAGGTTTCTTTGGTTTCTGCAGGCTGCCCAAAAATCCTGTTATGAATTCCCCCATAGTGAGTGTATCAGTGTTCAGTAACCACACGTTTCTCCAGAGCACATTGGAGATGCCGTTAGTGCTGGAGTTCCGCCTACTTGAGACGGCCAACCGCAGCAAGCCCCTCTGCGTTCAGTGGAATCATTCCAGCCAGTAAGTTGCTTTCCTGCCTGCACCGTGGTTTGACTGCCATCTCTCAGGAGGCTGCGTGCCATCTGTGGAGTTCAGATGTTAACGTTCATCCTCTGATGACTGCATCACCAAGGGATGACTTGCCCATGTGAAACAACCATCATATATCAAATATGAACAGAATTTTTGTGTCAGTTCACTCCAGGCACCATATTTCTAACTGGAAGAAGTCCACACATTAAGCCATCAATCACAAGTCAGTATATGATACAAATAAGTATATTTCAGTGCTCAGTTTTCTTCCCATATTGGATAATGATCCTTGCTTTTGTTTACTACACTTAAAATATTTATATCTATCTGTACAGCCCACTGAGTCTCACAAAAACACAATCATATGTAACATCAAGAAAGAAGATGTCTTGGATATTATGTAGTGCTAGGAGTGTCTTGTTGGTGGTACTCTGCAGAGCATCTATTATGAATTTCCTGATGGCTGAATACTGAGTTCATAAGATTCGGTCATTTGTGCTACTTCAGATAAAAAATTGAGGCCTAAATCCAGTGTTAATTTCAAGTAATGTAAATCCATTCAATCAATGGGAATGTCATAAATCAACAATTATGCAGGCTTCATTCTTTCAGTGAGATTATTGTAGATCAGTAGTTCTCAACCTGTGGGTCCCCAGGTTTTTTGGCCTACAACTCCCAGAAATTCCAGCCAGTTTACCAGCTGTTAGGATTTCTGGGAGTTGAAGGCCAAGACATCTGGGGACCCACAAGTTGAGAACCGCTATATCTAGATGGAAAGAACAATTGGATTTTGATCTAAATAATTATCTTCCTAACCCTTGGAAGAGATACTTAACCTATCTCATAAAAAACAAGACTGGCCCAAACAAGACTTTCTAGCAAATTTCCATGATTCTGTAGAGTCCCATTAAGCTTTCAATTCATGTCTCTTCATGCATGCCTCTAAAACAAAATGTTTCCTTGAAAACACTTTTCTTTGATGATTTTTCTTGATATTTTTTTGACTGTAGGATTGAACCCACTGGCTTCTGGACAGCACGGGATTGTGATCTTGTGTACCGAAACACTACACATGTCCGCTGCCACTGCTCCCAGTTTGGCACGTTTGGGATCCTAATGGACAGCTCCCACAGAGAGGTAACTCTGACTATATAGCAAGACATGGACAAGAAGAAGAAAGAGGGAATACTGATTATGATGAGGGTGGGTGGGAGAAAACATGTTTTGCCACATATGAACATCAGAGCAATTGAGTTGTGGTTATTGCTTGTGACAGGGAGCCATAAAGGTAGTTCTGATTTCTATAACCAAAAAAAGCAGAGTTTGGAGCCTGAAGATTCTGCAATGGTACAGTATTTTTATAGACAGATTTTTGAAGGGTTTAAATAGGATTAAAAATAAATTTTGAATTACTGTTGTGCACACATGATGAATATATGATTGGTAAATGTGTAAAATGTTATTGGAAACTGGGTAAAAGAACAAGTAAAAGATTGTATGGTAAAATGGGACAAAATGAACATGGCATTTTGATGGATCAGTTGGAGAAAGTGAGATCAAATGGATTGAAATTTCCTTTATGTTATGATCTTAATATGTTTTTATTTTTTTAAATGTACCATTGGTTTTAGACTCCACAGAAATTGGCTAAAGTACATAAAAGGTTTTCAAACATATGTTAGAAACAAGAGATAAAATTTATCCTATACTGTGAACTTGTGATAGGCAAAAAAAAAAAAAACCCAAACCTGGAAGGAGATACATTGTTTGATTCAGAAGATATTTAAGATCAAAATTCAACTAAAGCAGAGCTATTTCTGTTGGAACTGATGGCTAAATAGAGAACCAACATGAGATAATTCTACAACACGTGGTCACATAAGCAAAATGTAAGGAACTGGTAGAGTACAGAAACCCCAACACATGAAGACTGGATATTGAAATTTTTTGAAGTGACTGAGACTGAAATTAACAAATTATCTGCACTGATAAGAGCAAACCATTGGGGATTGAGAATAATTAATTTGAAAGATTTTAATGGTAGGATTTTAGAATTCGTAGCTAATAATAAAAAAATAGAACAGCAAAGGAGCATGAATAAAGGGAAGGATTTACTGTTATATATACCATCATTTGGAAAGTTAGAGGCCAATGTTTAATTGATTCCTTTTTCATTTCCTGGTTTTGTAGTGTATTCTTGTTATGTATGCGTTCTTTTTAGTTGTTGTTTTGGTAATATGCAGTTTACAGATTACCAGTAGTTGGTAGTATATGAATTTTTGTATCTTATATATTGCTTTCTATTTTTTAAAAAAATAGAATAAAAATTAAAGAGCAGAGTTTAATTTTTTGAACTCGGTCTTTCCACCCTGAGAACTTTTCTCCTCCAAAATCACTGACTTCTAGAATGGAAATCAGGTTGGGGAAAAATGTTCATATATAGTTCAGAGGGCAAATGCCTGGGTTCAGTTTTGTTGCAGAATTGAAGAACTCTCCTTGGCCCCATTTTATATGTAAGTGAATCTGACAGTAACCAATACAAAGATGGCTGCCCCATCACATCTGGTTTGGCCTTGGCAATTAGCAGAAACCATGACTGACTGGGCCAGAGGCAGATGGTTATTTGAAAAAGTGCAGAAATTTCAATGCATCATCTGTTCAGCAATGCTGAGCAAGCAAACCCATGACAGGAGTATGGTGAAAACAGCGCCATGTGCTTCTCCCTTACAGTTTTGTACTGGAGGAAGAAAATGTTCTCATTGAAAGCTCTTTGGTTTGGCAAAAGGCTGCTTTTCTCTTTTGACAATTTTCTGCTGTTTTCCATTTTTATACTGTTCTGGGTTTGGTTTAGCCTATTGCATCTTTATACATTTTATTTTTAAGCAGGACAACAACATAATTAAAAAACACCTAGTGACTTCCTTCACATCAAGTCCAGCCCTTAGCCATAGTCACAGTGCAGTGTTTCATTCTGTGAGTTCAGAGCTGCAATCTAGGGAGTGGCCATTTTCCATTGTTGTTTCCACTCACAAGAGATGCATTGGTACTGTAGCTTGACACCACTTTCATGGCCATGGCTCAGTGTTGCCTCACCCAACTACTAGTCCCAGTAGTTTGATATGTTATTTATTTGGTTTTATGTCATCTAATAGGTTTTTATGACTGTAAGCTGCTCCAAGTCCCTTATTCAGAGATGGGGCGGGGTATAAATTAAATTTTATTTTATTACTAGCTGTCCCCTGCCACGCATTGCTGTGGCCCAGTCTGTGTATATGTGTTTTTGTGTGTATATGTATGTGTGTATTTTTATATATGTATATATATGTGTGTTTGTGTATATATATGTGGTTTTGCGCATCCATTGTAATGCATTTTTTGTTTTTTTGCTTTTTAAGTCCCTTCCGCTGTGTTTTTAGTGTTTTTATAAGTGATGGTCACTCGTTGGCCTGATAGGTGTTATGTGTCCAAATTTGGTGTCAATTGATCCAGTGGTTTTTGAGTTATCTTAATCCCACAAACGAACATTAAATTTTTCTTTATATAGATTATTATTAGTCCCGGAATAACAACAACAACAACAACAACAACTTTATTTTTATACCCCTCCTCCATTTCCTCAAAGGGACTCAGGGCAGCTCACAAGGGGACATGCCCAACAGTACAGGTTAAAACAAGCATAAAAATACAATCAACAACAAAAAAATTAATAAAAACATCATAATCAAACAACATCATAAAACAACATCATGGCTGAATAATAAATGATGGGTTCAGGTTCATGATTCCTAAGTGCAACACATTCCTACATAGAGCCAAGGAAAAGTGCGACAATCGGAGGACGGGGCTAGGAGGCTAATGCCCTTAAACCATTAAAATGTTATAAGTGCTGGAAAGGGGCCAAGTGCAGGAGCTTAGATAAGATCAGGAAAAATTCTCTGGTGAACTGCCCAATCAAAGGCACAACGAAACAACTAAGTTTTTAATTCCTTGCAGAAAATGGACAAAATGGGGGCCTGGCCCTAGGGAGAGAGTTCCAGAGCCAAGGGGCCACCAAAGAGAAGGCCCTTTCTCTCGTCCACACCAACTGAGCTTGTGACGGTGGTGGGAATGAGAGAAGAGCACCCAGGGAGACAACACAGCCTTTTTAAAGTCCTATTATATATTCATGTTCACTTACTATCAGCCACTTTAGAGGACTGTTGCCAGGCAGAAAGGCAGAATATAAATATTTTAAGTAAACAGATGTATAAAGACATATATCTTTAGTATGCTTGAGAGAACTTTTATGTGTTTATGCCTTTTTCTTTTCTTTCTATGCGTTTTGATAGCTTTTTAGACATAGTGGTAGGCTAAAATATTATTATAATTCAGACTCCTTTCATGCTTTGACATCTCCTTTTTTCTTTGGTTGTGCCCTACAGCAGCTGGAAGGTGACCTGGAGACGTTGGCCATCGTCACCTATTCTCTGGTGTCCCTTTCCCTGCTTTGCTTGCTACTGACCTTTTCCTTCCTGATCTGCCTGAAGGGTCTCAAATCCAACACTCGGGGCATTCACTGCAACATCTCTGCCACTCTCTTCTTTTCTGAGCTGCTGTTCCTCCTGGGTATCAACCACACTGAAAATCAGGTGAGAGGAGGAAGGACAACATTAAAAGCAGGTGGGGAGAAGAAGGCCCACGTCAAGCAGCAAGGGATTTTAATCCCTGAGGGAAATAAGGTGCACAAGAATTTGTGTGCTAGAACATTTAAAACATTGGATAATAACATTGCAGAACAAGTTGGGTTTTTTGGATTTTTAAATTATTTTCAAGCCATGGATAACTAAATTGGTGGATGCAGAATGGTACTTTAGAACTGCTACACAGATTTGCTAGCAGCATCCGTCAGAAGTGAGTATGCCACTACATTCTCTCAGTTTCCCAAATTAAATAAAAATTGTAAGGAGAATTGCCAAAAACATTAGTTCCAGGTTAAGATGACAATGAATAGTTTAGGTATGCTGCTTTAGAGACTCCTTTGATTGGTATGTTGATTTTTCCTCTTTTTTTCAGTTCCTCTGCACTGTGATCGCTATCTTGCTCCACTATTTCTTCCTATCAACTTTTGCGTGGCTCTTTGTGCAAGGCCTCCATATTTACCGCATGCAGACTGAAGCTCGCAACATCAACTATGGGGCTATGAGGTTCTATTATGCCATTGGTTGGGGGGTTCCTGCCATCATCACAGGTAAATGAAGGGATGTTTAGTCAATGAATACCATGTACTGTAAGTTAGAGTTCAGTAGAAGGAAGTGAACAACTTCCTTTGTGTATCCCTTGTCTAAGAAAATCCTATAACATTAATGAGACTTCCATAAATTGTCAGGCAGCTTGAAGGCACATATGCGCACATTTAGAAAGCCAGGATTTATTTGTAAAAAGAAACTTTACCTGCCAAACTTGATATGCCATCTTGTATAATTTGCAACAAATCTATAAAGCTGCCTTCACTGACCTGCTATGCTCTAGATGTAAAGGACTAAATTTCAATTCATCCCAGTCAGACTTGCTTGCCAGTATAGAATATTGGAGAATTTATTTATTTATTTATTTATTTACTGCACTTGTAGACCGCCGTTCTCAGCCCTAGGGCGACTCACAGCGGTGTACAACATATAAAAACAAATTACAGTATAGGCAATATCACAAACAACAATAACAACATCACTATCAATAATACAATTACACTAAATCATTCGCGACGTCTCATCATAGAATCACAATCCAATCTCGTTATCCATGTTCCGTTCCAATCATAATTGCCAATTGTTGTAGCACTTAGTCAAACGCCTTCTCAAAAAACCACGTCTTTAGTCTCTTGCGGAATGTCATAAGGGAGGGCGCCTGTCTGATGTCTACAGGGAGGGTGTTCCACAGCCGGGGGGCCACCACTGAGAAGGCCCTATCCCTCGTCCCCGCCAGGCGTGCCTGTGAGGCAGGCGGGATCGAGAGAAGGGCCTCCCCAGACGATCTCAAGGTCCTCGTGGGCTCATAGGCCGAGATGCGGTCAGACAGGTATTTTGGGCCGGAACCGTTTAGGGCTTTGTAGGCCAACACCAGCACCTTGAATTGGGCCCGGTAGCAGATCGGCAGCCAGTGGAGCTGGAACAACAAGGGCGTTGTATGCTCCCTGCGTCCTGCTCCTGTTAGTAACATGGCTGCCGCGCGCTGGACTAGCTGGAGCTTCCGGGCCGTCTTCAAGGGCAGCCCCACGTAGAGAGCATTGCAGTAGTCAAGGCGGGATGTGACCAGAGCGTGTACCACCGTGGCCAAGTCAGACTTCCCGAGGTACGGGCGCAGCTGGCGCACGAGCCTGAGCTGTGCAAATGCTCCCCTGGTCACCGCTGAAACCTGGGGATCCAGGCTTGCTACATAGGTATAAGTCTACCAGATGTTTGTTCATTGTCAGTGTAACATGCTATTAAACATGCTTGATTATCACATGATGTGCTTTGCTGAAATTGGGCTTTATTGTTACATGAAAATCAATCTCTGCTAAGAAGTCATGTTTAAGCCATGCCTTGGTGTCCCTGACTTGTTTACTCAACTGCCTTTTGTTTTTGTTTTTGTTTGTTTGTTTTAGTAACAGACTAACATACCTATCCCTCTCAAAGATGCTTTGTGAAATCCAGGGTTTCATGACATCTTAGGGGGAGTTATCGGGAGCAATACTGCTTATCAGGGTGTCTCATTTGTGTCATAGCAGGCCTCCATGAATATCATCTTCAAAGCAAGTTTTCTAGAGAGCTCTGCCAGCAACTTTTGCTCTGACCCTCATTTTAGAGAGAAGGAAGGAGCAGATCTGCATTGGCCCAGAACATATATTCCCAAAGGATTTGGGAAACGTATTACACATCTGACCTTCTCCTTCCTTTTGGGCAGGGTTGTCAGTTGGCTTGGATCCAGAGGGATATGGAAACCCAGATTTCTGCTGGATTTCCATCCATGATAAGCTGGTCTGGAGTTTTGCAGGGCCTATTGTTATTGTCATTGTGGTAAGCATGTCTCATATTTATTCAGTCTTTCCACCAGGATTCTATAACCTTTCCGTTTTCATTGCTCAGCATATCTTCTCCCTGTTCTGCTGTTCTTTTGCTTCCTTTCCCTGTCACGAATGTTTAAAATTAGATGACATCCTTCCTTCCTATCCCAACCTACCCACCCCCTTTGGCCTACTTTCTCCTTTTCCTGTAACTCTTCTCTTCTGTCCCTGGAAATCTGTATGCTTCATCACAATGCTTTGCTTGGGGATTTGTAAACATTTGACTTTTGTGAAGTCTTTGTTTCTGGTCTTCTATCCTGTTACACTTTGCTGTGAGTTTGAATATAAGTTAGAAAGACAGAGAAACTGATAATTTGGCACAGAATCTGACCATGTTCGTTATTCCTCTGATAGCTGAGAAATAGCTAAACTGCTTGCCACTGATCTAGCAACATTCACTGGGAAGAGTGTGGGGAGGGCAGACCTAAGGAGAAGGCTATGCTGTTCTGTCTCTAACCAGCCAATCTGCTTCCAGATGAATGGGGTTATGTTTCTACTGGTGGCAAAGATGCTGTGCTCACCAGGCCAGAAAGAAGCCAAGAGGAAATCTGTTCTGTGAGTATTTACTAGTTACAATGATCTGCTCAAGCCCAAACTGTCTTTTGTTTTTTTGGCAAGGATCTGAACATCACTTCTTGCGCTCCCAAAATTGCTTTCCATTTTCCTCACACTTATGAATGTTGCACGCACACACACACTCATTATTTTCTGTCCATCAGTCTGTGATTCTCTCTTCCAGATGTTCATTGGGTTGTCTCCCTTCATGGCTGATGTTTGCTCAAGGGATTTTGTCCACCCTGAGCTAGTATTGCTTTGTACTCCTGGGTTATAGCAAGAAAAGTCCTCTTCTCTGTTTTGTGCACTGGCATCAGAGAGTTAGGCTATGCAATTGCATCTGAATTGTGGAGAGTAGGCTATGATAGCAGTGTCTCTTGAGTTGATGCTCAACTGACCATAGATGCTAACCTCTATATCTGTCCTTCTCGGTGGCTTTTTCTTCCCTGTCTCTTTCCAGCATGACACTGCGAAGTTCCTTCGTTCTGCTTCTAGTTATTAGTGCTGCTTGGCTCTTTGGCCTCTTGGCTATCAACAACAGTGTCCTGGCTTTCCACTACCTCTACACTGTCCTCTGCAGCCTTCAGGTAACACTCTCTACTATCATGAAGATGGTTAGGCAGAGAGAAAATGACTAGCTTCTGGCAGGAACTAACTTGAAGGACTGCTAAAGATGAGCTATATAATGTGAGTGTTGCTGTTTGGGAAACATAAGTCTGTTCCTTACTTATTTATACACAGGGTTGGCTCCACCATTAGGCAAAATGAGGCAAATGCTTCAAGCAACAGTTGCTAAGCTGTTGCTATCTTAGCTATTTCTGCTCATCCCCCTGACTGTTCCCCTCAATCCTGGAGGGCTGAGCTGTTTGTGCTGCACAGCCCATCCTGCATCCCCTGCTGCCCTTTGGTGTGATGGAAGGCCCTATCAAATTGTGGGACTAAGAGTAAGGTGTCACCCCTGACATCTTTAATACCTGGAATGGGGGGGGGGGGGGGRGGGAGAGAGACCATGTTTTCTAACTTCAAACTATAAAATTTGCCAGCCCTCCAAAAACAGAACTACTTACAAAGCTTTTCTTCTTCCTCAACACACTGATTCTACATACTCTTCATTATATAAAAATCTAATCGGTTTGCAAACACAGTTGGCATATTTATAGATACTTGCAAAGAGTATGTTGCAAATTTTGCAGACTGAAAAAGGATAAGTTCCCCAAATGACAGACATGTGACAAAACAGCATATCAAGCAAATGCTAGAAGATTGCCTCCTTGCTGGGAGAAAAAGTATTATAATTAAAATACATTTTATCGAAAACATTTAAGAAACAATCTGCCCAAAAACAACAGCCCCCCTCCCATGGGGAAACAGAATGAATAAATGTATAATAGAGAGAGAGAGAGAGAGAGAAAGCAGAAATTAAACTTCTCATCAACCTAGAAATCATTTCCTAAGACTCTCACAATATATAACTTAAAATCATATTTGCTTGATATATTTTTTTCAAACACTTCTAAATCCCTGGCAGTAATTCTTTTTACTCACGTGTCCTTCAGATAACAAACTCACAACTTACCTTTCCACCACCAGTGCCCTATCCACCCACAATCATTTAGTGACTGATGTAGAGTGTGGGACATGTCACTAGATGTTTCTGAACCAGCCAGTGATCCCGAACCTCCTAAGGCAGATGTTGCCTCTTTGTGCACAGTCAGACACTCCCTGTTGAACTATGCCTGGATATTCAAGGATTATGGTTTTAGGGGAGTAGGGCCAGCAGCAGAATGAAATTAATGAGAGGGGCAGAAACAGACCTACATTTGACATGCTCTGCCAGTGCTTTCCTGAATTTCAGCTAGTGTTGAGGATGCAAATGCAGTTTGGAAATTGTCTGTCCAGAGTTTTGCCAGCCTTGAATCTATGAATAGACCAATCTTGCCCTCTAGTGGAAAGTAGAAGTTTTCATTCAAGCAATAACATTTCTTATGGCTATAAAATTTTAACAATAATACCTTTTTAATAGTATGATTTCAGGTGTATTATATAACAAAAAGGAAGAATGAGGATGGTTACATTTCATTTGACATAGGCAAACAGTAGATTGGAGCTTGTAGTTAGATCAGCAAGGAGTTCTAACTGTGGTTGAACAAAAGGGGGGGGGGGGAGCCCATATTGGGATGTTGAGATAAAAAAACATTGGGGTGGAAACAGGAATATATGTGAGTGGAAAAGAGTCAAGCTACATACTGGTACCAAAAACAAGCTCCGGGGCCAAAAAGGGCCTCAGAGGCATCTTGTTCCAGTTGGTGGACACTGGGACTATAATGAGAACCAAAGAAGATCCCATAAGCCTGAAGTCTACTCATCCCTGTTGTCTGTTCCATCTAAATAGTTTTGGAGGATCAGATTTTGGGACGGTCCATAGTTCAACCAATAAAGCACATGTTCCCTGATTTAGTACCTGAAATGTACAGGTAATGATAGGAGATACTCCTCTCTGACGCTGTCAGTCCAGGGTTGATGACAAGGAGCTGAATGGACCAATGGCCCCATTCAGCATAAGGCAGCATCCTGTATTCAAAGGCTCTCTCCCTCTTCTCCGCAGGGCTTGGCAGTGCTAGCTTTGTTCTGTGTGCTAAACAAAGAGGTACAGGAAGCCTGGAAAGTGGCCTGCCTTGGCAAGAAAGGTCAGACTGAAGAAGCCACCAGAAGTGGTCAGGTGAGCGTTGGTATTCTTGCAATTTGAGTGAAAGAGGATAGCTTGGCTTAAGGCTGCAGCCTTTGCTTTAATACTTTACCCTTCTAGTCACAGAGTCCTGCCTTCTTATGTTGCTATATCAGTGTTATCAAATGAACTTGCTACCTAAATAAATGAAAAAATCTCAGATGAGCTCTTTCTTCTTTTTACTTTTTCACCTTAGGGCCCAAATGCCTACAACAACACAGCCCTTTTTGAGGAGAGTGGTCTCATCCGCATCACTCTAGGAGCTTCCACCATCTCCTCTGTCAGCAGTGTGCGCTCAGGCCGCACCCATTCCAGCCAGCGAGGATACCTCAGGTAAGAATCAGTATGAATGAAACTCCCCTTCTTCCTCCTCTTCTTCCTTAGCATACCCGAAAACATCCAGCTATGAAGAAGCATTTGTGTGTTTATCTAATAGTGGAAGCTATCTTTTGACCTTCAGTTGTGCACTTCTTCTTGTGAACAAGAGTCTGAAACAGGGCTAGCCCTAGACATATTTCTGCCGAAGGCTATCAGAAAAGTTGCCACTCTACCGAGAGTGACATTGCTGGATCCAGCATCTATTGCTAGAAGCAGTTGCTTCACTTTAGCTAATAGTAGGACCTGGCATGGTTGGAAGAAAGTTGAATGATAATGTGGACATTGCTTCCACTATCATCTACAAGAGTTTGTTCCTTCTCTTTTCTAGTTATGTGCTCATTCATGGGTCCACAGAGGACTCATATTTTGGGAGAGTGGACTAGATGATAGTTTACACAGGAACTATATTTGGCAGAAAACAAAAAAAAAAACCTGTAACTTTGACTTTGTAATTTTTTTTAAAAAAATGATTTCTCTCTCCACCAACCTTTATCCTAATCTCCCATAGTGGCCAAGTAGGTGCTCATATGAAATGCACATTGATGATATGAGGGCAGTAACTTTCTATTATTTCCTGCCATGATAACAAATTCTAAGAACAATGCCAATTCATAAGGAATGATCTTATGCTGGCTAAGAACAACAATCTTTAGCTTGAATACCATTTATCCAAATGACACCCTATCTTGGGGACTCCACCAGGTCTGGCTGTGATGCCCAAGAGCCTCTATTTCATTCCCTATTTACAGCCCTTCACTTGATGTGCAAGGTTGTTCACTGACTGTTTTCTCTGTTGTGGGTTTCAGGGAAAACTTGATGGCACATCAAGGCTCAGCTCTGGATCACAACTTGCTGAATCATGCTGGTCCCACTGATCTTGACGTGGCCATGTTCCATCGTGATGCAGGGCCAGGTAAGCCATGCTTTCAGTGTGGCAGTTGGTGGGTATGAAGGCAGTGCATCCTCTTCTCCCGCAAGAGCAAATTTCAACATGAGAAATCTTTCTGATGTTCTCCAGTATATTGCTCCATGTTTTAAATATACACTAAGCACTTACAATAACAGCAACTTTGTAATCATACTCAGATATTTCCAGGGAAGGAGATAATAGTGACTTTTTCCCAGCAGTGCCTTCCTTTCTTTAAAAAAACCCACCCCTGTTTGTTCTTGCTACCATTATGGTTTCTTAAATATGTTATGTTTTGTGCTTGGAATGTTTTGAATGACAGATACAAGGGCACAGTAATGGAATAAACCATGGTTTCACTTTTGCAGACTGTTAAATTGTGTGAGGGCAATAATATGTGCTGGGAAGGTATCAGCCATCATGTCCCAGAATGGAATGACTATTCCCTAAGCCCTGTCTTTATTCTCAAATGCAATTTATCTTGCTCAGATCAAGACTCTGACTCGGACAGCGACCTCTCCTTGGATGAGGAACGCAGCCTCTCAATACCATCATCGGAGAGTGAGGAGAATGTGCAGCTCCGGGGAAGGTTTCAACGCCAATTCAAAAGGGCAGCACACAGCGAGAGACTTCTCACCAATCCTTCCAATACTACCCCCAAAGGCAAGTACTGCTGGACAAAGAACAGCTTGAGTTCATGGGACGAGCCCATTGGGCCATCCTGAACAATACAAGCCAGAGTCACCATGTGCTACAATCTCCATATCTGCAAAGCCATAATAATAATAATAATAATAATAATAATTATTATTATTATTATTATTATTATTATTATTATTATTATTTCTTGCCTGCCTCTCATCACAACTTGAGGCAGATTACAATATTGCTAAAACATACATTCATCTAAAAACATTCTTTAAAATATACATATTAAAACATATTTCCACAAAATACATATTAAAATACACAAAACAAAGATTAAACATAAGATGCAAGTTTAACATTCATCATTAAAACATATATACACCATTTCACTTATCCACAGTTCCATTTAATCACTGAGGGTATCTTGTATAAGTTACTCCCTCTTCTTGGTACTCTGTCATTTGTCCCATTGAAAGTAACCGGGTTAATTGTTATTCAGAGTTTCACATATCCACACGAAGTCCATGAATATATCCCATGCAGATATGGGGGTCGTACTGTATCAAGACAAATTACAAAATATGAAAGAAACACCTTACTTATTGTGTGACTTGCAAAAATAGTTTACTAAGAGTTGATGATAGATATATAGTTAAAGACCATGTGTGTTTAACCCAGTGAAAATAGTGTTTACTAATGGAAGTTCTTTTGCTTGGCTCAAGGGACTTCCATTTTGTTGCAAAGAAAAACAGTTCATACAAATCGAGTGAATCTATGAATTAACGGCTGTTTCCTTCTGTACATCTGTATGATCACTTCCCATTCATGAAGCTGCACTAAGATCACTGCAGATATCCCAGGCGGCTGACAAATTAACCGTTACTATGGGTGTAGCCCAAGTAGTGGCAACTTGGTTTGGCTTTCTTAGCTGAACAGTGCTGTAGTAACCTAATAATGGAATTCAGAAAACTGCCACTAATTGTTCTTCACCATCCCCTGACAAGGATAAAGTTATAAGACATTATTTAACACTTAGCAAATGTCATGGCAAAATCATGCATTAATTGTACTTGATACACTCCAAATATACCTGTCATTCTGCAATGTCTTTCCTCAGATGTAGATGGTAATGACCTGATGTCTTATTGGCCTGCACTGGGAGAATGCGAAGTTCATCCTTGCTCCTTACAAAAATGGGGCTCAGAGCGAAAACTTGGATTTGATGTTAATAAGGATGCAGCAAACAACAACCAGCCAGACCTGGCCTTGACCAGTGGGGATGAGAATTCCCTTACCCAGACCCAGCGACAGAGGAAAGGTAAGAAGACTGGAAGTAGAGCCAACATGGTGCAAGTGTAAAACAGATTTCCTTGATTCATTTGCCATTTTCTTAATCTAACCCCACTACTGTATACTATGACTGACAATTCTGCAAGGTCTCAGACAAAGTTTCAGCATTCACCCTTGTCCATGCGTGAAGCCTGGGGTCACTTTGGAAGATGGGCAGGGTAAGCAGGACTCTCTTTCCCAGCATAACTCTAATGACGCTGAGGAAACAAGATGGGACCCTCCAGTCTTAGTGCCAGACACTTGGACTTCCAATTGGTTCTTCCTGGCCCCTCCCACAGCCATCACCCCCGGGGTGGTAGGAATGGATGCGATGGGATGATAGACGGCACATTCAGAATCATGAATAAAATACCTGTTAGCTACTTGTTAGAGATAAGAATAGGATGTTCATGAAAGCACTTGCCAAGATTAGGACCTGGCTGAGAATCAAGAAAGGTGATTCCTCAGTATGGAGGAAATTCAATCTTTTGTTGAACTAATCAGAACTTGGTATCATTACTTTAAAAATGAACAATCATGTTGCTTGTTAGTTAGCTTTCGCAATCAGTACGTTGTTCATTATTCATTTCAACAACAAAAAATAAAGCAAGCTTTTCCAACCTGTTATCATCCAGATATGTTGGACTACTACTCCCACCATTTCTAACAGGCATATCTATTTGTTATTATCTAAACATCTGGAGGGCATTCAATTGAAGAAATCTGGATCACAGAATTGGTGAGACTACATAAAGAGAGGTGTGACATGATCATAGGGATAAAGCAAGAATGTAGGAGCTACCGTATAACTGGGTCAGATTTATTGGTCATCTTTGACTGGCACCAGTTCTCTAAAGTGTCAAGTTGGATTCTTTCCTAGAACTTACCTAGAAATCCCTGGTTTCCCATGCAAGTAACAAGGCTTAATCCAGTTTCTGAAATCAAACAAGACCAAGTACATTCTATGTGATTGTAAGTGAGAAAGTGGTATGTTTAGTAGGGGTGGCAAACCTCTGGAATCCATTCTTCCTTTTTCTTCCCTTTGTTTCCTGTGATGTAGGCATCCTAAAGAACCGTCTCCAGTACCCTCCAGCTTTGCAAGGCTTGTCATCTGTGGGGAGAATGACCAACGACCTTTCCTGGTACAAAACTTCTACCCTGGGTCACAGGGCTGTTCCTGCTGCTTCTTATGGCAGGATCTATTCAGGCGCAGGCAGCCTCTCTCAACCAGCAAGTCGTTACTCTTCCCGGGAACAACTTGACATGCTCATGAGAAGGCAGATGTCTAGAGAACAGTTGAGCCGAAATGATTCTGGTGAGTGCCTAGAAGTTATAGGCAGTCGCCATGGGTCCCGGGAACAACTGGACACTATTCTGAACAGGCCAAGATCAAGGGAGCACTTGGACACAATCCTCAGTCGGCATGGATCTAGAGAACACCTTGCAAGCATACCCAGTAGACATGGGTCTACAGAAAACCTAGGTGACATAGCTACTGGACACAATCAGAGAGATCTCTGGAACACTCTACCCAGGAGGCAGGGATCTAGAGATCATCTAGATACTTTGCCCTGTAGATTTGGTTCCCGAGAACATCTAGACTGTGGTGGGACAGTCACAGAGATCTCCAGAGAATGGCTAAACACTATGCCTAACAGACAAGCTTCTAGAGATCGCATGGATGCTTTGTCAAGTCGAGACACTTCTCGAGAACAGTTGGATCTGCTTTCTAGAAGGCAGCCTTCAAGGGACCAACTAGCATCAGCTAGACAAACATCAAGAGAGCAGCTGGACTTTTTTTCCAGAAGATCAAATTCTAGAGAGCATCTGGACATAGTGCCTGGCAGGCAGGCTCTTCGGGAAAATCTAGAGCCCCTTTCTAGACAACAGCCTTCTAGAGAAAACCTTGAACTTCTCTCCAGGAGGCCCCCTTCTAGAGAAAATCTAGAAGCGGCCCCCAGCCGTCACCCCTCTACAGAGCAATTAGACATCCTTTCTTCCATACTAGCCTCTTTTAACTCCTCTGTTTTATCTTCTGTGCAATCATCCAGTACTCCCTCAGGCCCACAGACCACACCCTCTATGGCACAGATGTCCTCCACACCCTCCATGCCCTCCATGCCATGCCCTTCACCACCTCACTCTACTACTTCTCACAGTATTTCCGAGCTGTCTCCAGACTCAGAGTAAGTATCTCTTCCTCCATTTTACCAATTCAGTCCTTGGTCCAGTTAAGGCTGTGGCCTATCCAATAAGGTTGACCATGTTGAAATTGTGACTCTCTTTAAGAGAAACAAGGTGAGCTAGAAAAAAGTTTCCTTCAGGATCTGGGGGATTTCAGAAGGCCATAACAATGACAGAACGCGGTGGTTTTCTTATAAAACTTTGTTCTGTTTGCTGGCTGCACTTGAGGTGCACATCCCTGTAGTTCGTTACACTTTAAAATGTCCTTATATACAAACTGAACTTAAGAACAAACCCAGAGAATCAATCTTGTTTGTAACCCAAGGATGGCATGCTTTCAATGTGCTTATCATGACTTCTGGTTTCTGATTTAACCATCTTCTTTTAACCCCAATCCCAATTCTTTGGGAACAACCAACATAATGCAGGCGGCAGAGTTCCACTAATATATTCAGCTGATTTTGAATTCAGTCTTCATTTTAAAGAAGAGAATCTTAATTATGGTTTTTTCTCTCCCTGCTTCCCTTGAGAAGAATTACAAGAAGTGAGGGTCATTCCTGAGGAGCCCAACAACCGCTGTGAGAGCCAAGGAAGACACAGGAATGATTGGCCAGACGCTTCCACAGAGGACTGGGATCCCCCCGGGCACCTACAAGGAAAGGACTGGGTCTGAATGGAGGCCTGAATCAACTGTGCCTCCCTCAGCACTCGAGTAGTGAGAGTCAGGGAAAATGCACAGACCTGGCTATGAAGTTAAGGTGTCTCTTGGTACCTCCGTGTCATGCTGGCCACTCTCCACATTCAGAGAGAGAATCCCAAATTGGGAGGGGAGTTAACCACACCATGGGTAAACCCCCTTAGTTACATATCCAAAACAGACCAATTGAAATCTTCCTTTCTGAAACCTTTCTAGACTCTGTGCAAACATGAAAGGGTGGGGTGACTGCAGAGGGAGGGTCAGGGGAAGGGTTTTATACATTTTTGTATCTTTGTAATCAGAGAAAAGAGAAATTTCTATGGTTATTTTTACGGTTCTTCTGTTCCCATTGCTGTGGTGCCGAATTCATTTGTCTTGGCAGTGTTATGTCCAAACAGTGGCAAAATGCTATGCAGGCTTCTTCCCAGTAGGGTTTGGGAGCAGAGGAATGAGGCAAGAGATATTTTGCCAACCCTACTCAGAGCGTCCTTTAGGCATATTCTGTTGTATGCCTGTCTTGTTTCCTGGCAACTATCTCATTGGGGAAGGGGAAGAGTCAAACACACACACAAACACAGAGATAAGCCAACCAGCCTTAAACAGGGCCCTGAAGTCCATGGGCTTTGCCACTTTCCCCACATTAACCTGACCACCATCCTGAACACAGCCCTACAATTCCTTCCACATTCTGACACAGCCTGAGGGCCCACATATTTATATATGCTTCTCGTATAAACATTTCTTGGTTTTTGTGGACTGCAGGACAAAGTTGGTGGTTCTTCATGGTTTGAATTTAACTTGTTTTTCTTCTTTCATGACCAAAAAGCTAAAGCTGTGCTCCTTCTTAGGCCAACTGTGGAGAACATGGGTTGTTGTAAGTTTTTCGGGCTGTATGGGCATGTTCCAGAAGCATTCTCTCCTGGCGTTTCGCCTTCATCTATGGCAGCCATCCTCAGAGGTTCAAAGATTCCAGCTATGAAAGCCTTCAACAATACATTGTGGGGAACATGTGGCTTCCCTGTAGTGCAGCATCACTTGCCATCTATGCAGCAGTGTGTTGCTGATGTAATCACCTCTATTATTTATTTATTTATTTATTTATTTAATCTGTTCATTCATTAGGATATGTATATCTGAAGAACAGCATACAGTAAAATTCAAGATAATAAACAATCATTTAAAGAGATGAAAACTACATTAAATTGTTTTTCACTGAAAAACCGACAATATAAAACCAGTTAAAATAAATTAAAAACAATGCCAATTATATCACATGTGCAAGTTGGATAAAGTCAATAGGTCCCAAAGGCATTAATTAGAAGCCATATTTTGACTTGGCACTGGAATGACACCAATATTGGTACAAATCAGACCTTAGAGTGGGTATTTCATAGGTGCCAAAGTTAAGAAGGCCCTCTTCCATGTCATCTAACAATGTATTGCTCACACTGGTAGGACACAGAGAAGATGTGCTCCCTTAGGTATCAAGTTGCCAAACATTTATGGCTTTGAATGCTATCACAATTGGTTACGGTTAAGATTCTTGGTTACTCAGACAGTGTGGTGTAGTGGTGTGAGAGTTGGACTCGGACTCTGAAGACTAGAGTTTGATTTTTTCCTTGAGCATAGAAATTTAATTAGTGATCTTGTTGACTCATCTACTCTCAGGCCTAAAAAAGGTGATAGATTTGCTTTAGGTTGCCATAAACACCAATACCATAAATCAACTCAATGCTTTCCCCAGTAGTCATGTTATCCCAAGTTGGCACAGGACACACTAATTTACCACTCTTTCTGAATCACTATCCTGGACTTCTGCTAACTTGACAATCCTTCCTTGAGGAGTCATCAACAAATCTCCCAGAAGTAACCTGTAAACAACACAAGTCTAAAGTTCTCAGTGCAATTCTATGGTATGCTTCTGGCCAAAGTATAGTCAACTTTTATATTCACTATTTATACAGATTTGGATATCCACTGTGGGTCTTGGACATTATCCCTTGTGAATACAGAAGTCATGATTTACTTATTTGCATAGACACATACATCTTTCCATAAGTTGTGTATTGCACCTCCTTCACTTTAACAAATGACATTTGGCTAAATATGCTCTTTTTTCTTTTTCTGTTTCTTTTTTCAAAAATAGGCAGAAAACATTCTTTGCAATTGAAATCCTGAGTTGTTGATACCAAATTTTTGTATTTGGGAAGTAGAAAAAAATGAATCACTATATTCTTAACATTTGCATTTATTCAAACAAATCAAAATGCAATTGATTTTTTCTTTTAAAAATCTACATACATAGAGACAACTGGCAATTTTATATGTGTTTTCACATATTTGTTTCCCTAGAACACCTTGGATGCTCATGTATTGTTTCTCTATAACTAAGGGAAGTGATAACCTAGGCAGCCAACAGTTACATTTTGGCCCTTATTGCACAAGTTCTTATTGCGTTTTTAAGCATGGCGACACAATGCTGATGATGTTTAATCACTGTTGGAAGTGGACAGAGCTAAGCCTAACAAAGTTAATATCAGCACTGCGAGATAATGGTCAAGTATGGGAAGTATATATTTTATGCAAATCCCACCCCCGCACCCCAAGCATGGGCCGAAGGCTACAATAAGAAATACTACAGACAGTATAGGAATAATGTTGTGTACAGTATACATTGTACATGGTGGAAGAACTTGCAGCTGTGCATAAGGTGATGAACTGCAGCTCCCATCATGCATGATCATTAGTTGTACTGGTGGAGACTGATGGAAATTCAAGTGCAACATCACCTGGAAGACTAAAAGTTCTATATCCTTGTACAAACTCAGACCTCATAGGTATTATTACCATCTTTAGTACTGCTTTCTGCAAACTGGAATGCCCGAAACCACTACATCATCTCATATCATAATAGAAGACAGATCACTAATGGAAATCTTCATGCTGTGCATCCATTTTTCACTCGAAGTGTAAGTAGATGCCGAGACATTGCTGGATCTATTTAATTCCACTGTGCATAATACAGAACGTATAAAGCTCTTGATGTGAAATGTTGTTTGCTCTTGACACCTTCGCCTTCCCTTGCCCACTTTTAGATCTGAGAAGACATTTGAGTGTTCATAAAGATACATGGTACAGCCCTTTCATGTCAGCATTGCCTCAGATTGCTCATCTGTTTGAAAGTATGACTTCTCAAAAGGAGTCTCCATGCCTAATGTATTACATTTTCCAAATGCACAGGGTGATTTTGTGATAAGGTTGTTATCAAGCTAGGGATGCCCCCTTCCCCATGTATTCTGAAACGATACAGTCCTGCAGAAGACTGTGCCACATACCTGTTTGAATGTTTGACTGGGCTGCCAAGTCTATTGGTGGAGAGAGCTGTGCTTAATCTGGAAATGACTGGTGTCGTGGTGCTATTTCTGTCTCCAAACTCAGACTCCCTTCATGTGTTTGTGTGTCTTGCTCACCTAGAGTGGTGAAAATGTTCCATTTACTGCCTTATTAGCACAGAACACTGTAGCTTAATTGTTAAACTAAACAGACTTAATGTTTACACTGGCGAGCTTTCTTCCTGCAACCAACAGAGGTGGCTGGCAGTTGTCTGGCAGATGCCCCTTTCCAATGCTTGGCCCAGAAGCCTTTCGACTGGTTTAATTTCAAGTAAGAAAAGAGGAAGGTTTTAATTATTCTCCAGTACATTCCATTACTTGTAGTTCTGAGAGGGAAAGGGCTCCATTAAGCCTCCTGATCTTTCACATTTTGATACCTGAGCAAAGGTAGAATTGCTGCAGCCTTTGCTCAGAGCTGCCTTTTGGCCCCCATCCTCCTTTCATAGGGGTGGAAGATACTGTTCCATGCCCAGAATGGGTGGCAACCCACAACTCCTGCCAAGCAAAGGCCACGCTGCATTGAAGTCCCTTATTGACGTGGAAAGTGAGAGATTGGGACAAGTTGTCTTCAGAACAGCTTAATGTGTTTACAAGAATCTAGCTAACGAATCATGAGGCTGAGAAGCCAACACAAACCAAGGCATGGTTTTGTGCAAAAAAGAAGAAAGGAGGGGATGGGGTGATAAAGAAAGGGAAACCTCTTTCGCTTGTGAAAGTGCAGGTCCTTTTTCTGAATGCAAAGTCCTTTGTCTGATCATCATTCTCTTAATATGATGTATTAGTCTTTTAAAAAAGAGCTTGTTTACACTATTTATGTCCAATTTATTTATGTATAGCTTGCCAAACCAGGGTCCAGGTTTTCTATTTGTCACACGGATTTTTACAAAGACTTGTCTCCTGTTTTCTATCAATACTGTTTATAGACGTCCCACCTCCTTTTTGACTCAATGGATGTCTGTACTATTTATTAATCATAAAAATAGCCGGTTTGTTGGTTGAGAGATTTTTGGGTTTTCTGTTCTTGTTTTTATATGGATTTATATTGGAACCAGGCTTTAAAAATATAAACGGGCTTGCTTTCTTTTGGATTTGGTCCAGTGTAGAAGAGGGTTTGCCATCAAAGGAAAGCTCTATATCCCCCACCTCTCTCTCTCTCACACACACACACCTCTTCCTTTTAATAGTAATATCACAATAAACCATCATGTGATTTATTGAATGGATTGGTTATGATGTCCGAATCAACCGCTGCTAACAAGATTATGTATATTAACTAGTCTCAAAACCAAGCTGAATCCATGATTGGAAGTTGGCTTACGAATCCTGGCTTCCTTACCCACATTTTGTGACACAGAAACCAACATCTGAGATATGTCCCTAGCAATTCATGGTATAAACAACAAATCATGGTTCATCCAAACTATGATTTCCCTTACTGTTCTGCTCAGCTTGATTACACGGAAAGTTTCTCTGCCCTCCAAAAATGTTGTGGTATTGTGTATAAATAAATAAATAAATAAATAAATAAATAAATAAATAAAAGAAATACACAAAACTGTGTATAGATCTCCCTGGTCAATGATTTCAGTCTAGTAATGTTTCACCAATTTGTAAGTGGTGAAGAAGGCAAGTTCCATGCCTGGAGGCATTTCTACCTGCCTCTTTCGGTAAGGAAAGAAACCATCAAATTCCCAAACCCTCAATAAGGGATGTGTGCCAAAAGGAGAAAGACACTGAGTAAATGGAGTGAAGTGTCAGTCTCTCTCATGCCTTCCCGGAATCTGCTGAATTGCTGCTATTGACAACAAGCACTCAGCACTGCCTTGAAGCTCAGAATGTTCCTGGAAAGAAGAGTCTTCACCTCTTTCCTCAAAGTGATAGTTATCTTGCAAATCTGCATAGCAGTTCTTTGATTGTACATGTGGTGGCCTAGGCTCTGGAGAGCATTTGTTTTGGTTGGTTAATAAAACATTTGTCCCTTTCCCCCTGGTTTGTTGGTGGAGGACAGAGAGGTCTGTGGGCTTCCTCCCTAGCCATGTAAAATTGTATCATGAAAGCAACACGTTTGGAAATAAAATATAAAACACAGCACAGCTGCCTTGGATGTCAATCTGACTGCTTTTCCCTTTCATGTCTCTTGTTCTTTCTGTCTACAGTAACATCAAAGTACAAAAGGGGTGCCTGTGTGATGAACCTATTTCACAGGGCTTGGCATTTTTGCTTGGAGATAATGGAAGTCACATATGGGGATGTATCAAAAAAACAGGAATGCCAATAAGAGAGTGAAATCAGATTAAGAGAGAAGAGATAAGACTGAAAAGTCATAGAGTTCTTCCCCACAACAGCTAATTTTATAACTTAATTGAGAGATTGTGTCTCATTTATTTAAAGGGAAATTCAATCTTGAAGGTGCAGAACAAGTAGATAAGAAAATAAATGGTTCAATGAGAATCAAATAGCAAACCCAAGACTGCCAGATAAGAGGAATGAGAGAACAAAGCCTGAAGCTTTGTGGAAGGGGGGCTAGAAGGTGGAACAATTGCTATATATATATATATATATATATATATATATATATATATATATATATATATATGCCATTTTCCTTTACAGTGGAAGAGGGAGAACAATCATTGTGATAGAAAGTTATGAGATTTAGACAGACCGTGAGGGTAGGATAGAGAGGTAAGGAGAAGATGGGGGGGGATAGGATAAAAGGGTGGGGGGGAGTTAGGGGGTGCAGGTCAAACAAGTGTGTGCGTCACTTCCGTTCAGTCCACAGAGGAATAATTATTTCATTTCATTGTTCCTTTTTCTTATTTTTTACTACTCTAGTTCTTCTTACCCATAGACCTTATATGTCTAATTTGAGTTTGTTTTTCAGATATTCTTCCAGATTATTCCAGTTTATTTGCTTGGATATGTTTTGTTCCTCTAATTGACTCGATAGTCTGTCACAGTTCTTGAAGTCTATTATCTTCTTTATCCAATCTTCATCCGTTGGAATCTCTTTACTTTTCCATTTTTGTGCTATTAATATTTTGGCCGCCGACGATAGGTAAAACAAATTTTTTTTCTTCATTTTTCTTTAGGCCTAGATCCGTTATGTTCAGTAGGTAGTATTCAGGTTTGAAATCAAACTTTGTTTTGATGATATTTTGTGTATGCTTATGAACCGTTGTCCAAAAATTTTTGATCATTTTACAGTTCCAGTACAAGTGGAAGTATGTTCCAGCCTCTTTTCCACACTTCCAGCAATGCGTATTGTAGTTTTTACTAAATTTCGCTAATTGAACAGGTGTCAAGTGCCATCTATAGAAAACTTTGTACCAGTTCTCTACTACACTGCTGGCTCTAGTGTATTTTAGCTTGACCTTCCATACTTGTTCCCATTCGCTTAGTAGTATAGAATGGCCAATATCTCTGGCCCACTTAACCATGTTTTCTTTTACTAGTTCCTTTTCGTTACTCCATTCTAGCAGGCTTCGGTATAGAGTCCTAATCAGCTTCTTATCCTTTTTCATAATTATGTCCCAGCATGTGTCCTGTTCGCTAAATCCCACTTTTAGATCTACCTTTAAAGTTTCTTTAATTTGTAAATATTGTAACCAATTTAGTTCTTTGGAAGGTGGAACAATTGCTGATGGAGTTGGAGACTGTGGATTCCTCTCACTACTCTGCTGTAGTGCTGTGTGTGACCCCCCCCCCCTCTAAGGCTTAGGACATTATCCCATGAGCCCCCACTCCATTTCTTCTAAACAAACTTCTAAAATATTTGAAAAAGTAGTTAATTGGTGCCCATCACATGACGCAGAGAGATACCCCCACTCCTTGCATGTCCATCATGCTCAGTACTGAATTTTGACAATGTTAAGAAATGGGGGAGGGGGGCTAGAAGATGGGCAGAAATAATCTCAGGAATCACTATGAAATGGGAGAAAATGTGAAATAACACATGGGATGGGAGCTCTCTCATTTACCTGCATTTAATCAATTTGGTGACATGGGTAAATGTGTGTAACTATAGGTGGTGTTGAGCAAAGCAGTGATGCCCGGTAATCTCAAATCCAGAAGCTTGGTTCTTCCGTAATATTTTTTTTTATTTTACATATTCATTAGAAATTGAACTACTTCAGGAGATCCCTACTTCAGCACCTCAAAGTTCAAAAACCCGCAAACTTGTGAGATTTCATTTTTTTTCATGATTTCAAAGATCTCAGGGTGTTATTGTTGTTTTTTAAAAAAGTATGATAAATCTGAAAACAGATAATTTTGGAACACAGGGTCAGAAAGAATGTTGGATGTGGAATGAGAAACTACGCTTTGTTTTCTAACGCTACGTGACATAATGCGATGGGGATGTGATGCTTCCCCCACCTCATGGGATGAAGTCCTTAGACTCAGAACTTCTTTGGGCCATGCAAAATCTTTATGGGGACCACATGCAGCCTGTGGGCTGTATGGTGTGCAGGTCTGATCTAGATTGAGGCAGCTGCTTCATGCAGCCGTTGTGACCCTCACTTATCTCAGGAAATCATACATACCTCCAGATGTTGTTGGACCTGCACCACCAGCATTCCTCACCATGCGTCATGTTGATCAAGTTTGCTGAGTCCAAAGACCTCTGACCGGCTGCATAATTCCCATCCCTGACTTCCTGCTGCATACATACACAAAATGTACATTGCTGATCTTAGGTGATATGTGTAGGTGACAGGTATATGGGACAACACTTAACACACTGTGACATTTTATGGTTATGTTTTGTGAAACTAAGTCTGGAATTTATAAAACTAAGGCTGGAATTCTAATTTGTTACGCATTCATGACTGCTTCATATTCATGACCCCTATATATTCCCTAGTTTAAGAAGTGCATAATGACTGTGATGTCCCCCAATATTATTCTGAACAATTGGGTCTGTTTGTCTTTCAGTCAGGAAGGAGAAGATAGATGTTTCCATCAACCTGTTTGTGGAGCAATCTTTAGTATAATAGGGAAATGTGACTGGGATACACTTCTGGCTCCTGCACTGGGGATTGCTCTTTGGAGAGGATGGAAATATCAGCTGCTTCCCAATTGAGGGAGAAATTAGATTTGAAATAAATGTCTCCAAAATCTGAAAGTAGCATGCATAAAGATATACACATAGCACCAAGGTCAGGTTTGCAGATTAAAGAGCATGCTGATCTTGCTTACATTTCAGATTTATTGGCATGACAATCTATATATATGCATACCTGCCAATGAAATAGCTTTTAAAACCAAACCATGTGATAGCATAACTTTGTTATTCCATAATGAATTTATGCCATCACGTGTGATAAATTGTGACTTGTGGCCTTCCAAATATTATTGCACTGAAGCTCCCATCAGTCCCCTCAGTATAGCTAGTGGGATGGAATGATGGGAGTTGCAGGCCAACCAAAGTCTAGGCAATCACCATATTTCCGGAATTGATCCCATGCCTCCTTGAATTGATTCAAATATTTCAGTTTTTAAAATATATTTCTAATGGCAGAAACTGGGGGTTTCTTGAATTTATTTGATGGGCAAATAATGTGATTATTCACTTTGGTTTCACCATTTCATGTTTTGATGGCACACACTACTTGTTCTTGGTTCTACAATTCAAGTTTTATTGTGATTTATTCTGTATTCAAGAGTCTAAAAATTGAAAAGAAAAATATCTCCTTAGACCAGTGGTTTTCAACCTGTGGGTCCCCAGATGTTTTGGCCTTCAACTCCCAGAAATCCTAACAGCTGGTAAACTGGCTGGGATTTCCGGGAGTTGTAGGCCAAAACACCTGGGGACCCACAGGTTGAGAACCACTGCCTTAGACCTTGATGCAGCATCGAAGAACTTAATGAGTCACAAAAACAAAACCTCACAATGTTTAATCTTCACATTATCACAGTGCTTGAGTTTACAACAAGCTTAATTGTCCTCCATGACCTATAATTCTAAAAAATGATAAGCAAGATCAGTGGACCATTAAGAGCATTCATTTGATAATAACATGTACCACAATCCCACAAGAAACAGCACACCTTGTTCTACTGGTACTTGCCAACACTGACATTTGCCAACAAATATTTATTCCGACACACATTTACCAGTGGCATTCATTTCTTGCCTCTGTGCATTTCCCTTTGTTAAAATCTAGGGATATATGTGCAAAACTCTCAAAGTTTGATTCTGCCCCTAGTTCATTGTTTGGAAAAACGACTCACATTTTCTCAGAACCAATCTGCTTCAACAGCATCCATGTCAATGTATGAAAATCCAAAAGTTCATACCTGCTTTGGGCTGTCATAGAAAATCCAAACAAACAAACAAACAAAAGGCTGCAACTTTTGTTCTCTCTGCAAGTTCCTCATCCAGAACAGTCTGCTCCACTCTGTCCAAGAAAAACATCATGCTGAAAAGTAGCTATATGGGTCTGAAATTGCTGGACCTTCTCATCCAACAGGGCAACCAATTTGTACTTGCTGCAGATTTAGCTACCCACATCCTCAAGCACGAATACAAGCATACCAGTGGTTGTGGGTGAATGCAGCAGCTCCCTCACTGTCCATAATTAAAAGTCTTAAGTAGGCATTGAAACAGAACCCCAAGCCTCTTCCTTAAAACAACCTACTAACTGCCCACCCAAAACACCTGTTGGACTGTCTACCTGCCAGGCTCCTTTTATCCAAGCTCCAGGAACAGAGATAGATGCTATAAAGAGAGTTCGTGGCTGCTTGCTCTTTCCCTAACCGAGTCTCTGACTGTCAGTGCAAAAGGAACCTTTCCATTTGAGGCATCTTAAAAATGGATGTGCTTAATCTCCCTATGTTCTTTAATCACAATTGCTATGGAAATGACAGACAGCATAGAGGTGTTCCTAAGTAACATATCTGCAAACTGTCTTAAAGGGAACTGCAGTAGTTTCTCTGAAAGGAAAGTTCTAAAACAATTTGGGAGACAAATTATTCACTTTCCCTTCTCTCATTTTCTCCAAGCAAAGTGAATGAAGATCTCCAAGTCAGAAAGGTGATAAGTTTCTGAAGGACAAGTTCAAGGCATCGTTGTGCTGCCAGAAACC